AGACTTTATAACTACAGCATAATTAGAATTACTGCTGAAGCCGAGATTAGTGACGGGAACAAGACATTTGCCGTGAGCAAGTCTAAATGAGTGTGACGTCTACCCTTTCTTGCTCACATAACACGTATTTCATACAAATTCATTACACGGAAAATGCCAAACAGGTCATTTTGTTCGTATTTTGTTTACAGACGGCGAGACCATTATCCGATACCAGAAAAAGGTCAAAGTGGTGTCAGTTTATGTAAAAAGTCGCTAATCACACAATAAATATTGCTTTAAGGAGTTTTCTTCTCTGTAGTGTTGGAACAGGGCGGCAAAAACCAACAACCTGCCGTGTTGGATTGATGAGGTTTTCCGGAGCTAACAGTTAGTTTGTAACAATGTTTAATTACTTCTGGCATCTCGTAATTCTGTAACAAATGCAGTGTAGTTCACATTTAAATTACAATCAAAGAGCTTCCAGAGAAATCCGTCACCAATTAAGAAAGAATACATGTTTTTTTCCATTTTCTCCTCTAAACCATCCATTATGGGAACATTTCTAACAGTGATTACCATAGAGTAATGAACTTAATATATCAAACATTTCACGAGAAGTTTCTCCGTACTATGTTTTGAAAAATCCCATAAAAATTGTCTCCGTTCTACGTCTCGGACATATCCACGAGTTGTGTCTCCGTGCTACGTCTCGGACCATTCCACGAGAAATGTCTCCGTACTACGTCTCGGACAAATCCCCGAGTTGTGTCTCCGTACAATACCTCAGACCATTCATCGAGAACTGTCTCTGCACAATGTCTCGGACCATTCCACGAGAAATGTCTCCGTACTACGTCTCGGACCATTCCATGAGAAATGTCTCCGTACTACGTCTCGGACAAATCCCCGAGTTGTGTCTCCGTACAATACCTCAGACCATTCATCGAGAACTGTCTCTGCACAATGTCTCGGACCATTCCACGAGAAATGTCTCCGTACTACGTCTCGGACCATTCCACGTAAAATGTCTCCGTTCTACGTCTCGGACATATCCACGAGTTGTGTCTCCGTGCTACGTCTCGGACCATTCCACGAGAAATGTCTCCGTACTACGTCTCGGACAAATCCCCGAGTTGTGTCTCCGTACAATACCTCAGACCATTCATCGAGAACTGTCTCTGCACAATGTCTCGGACCATTCCACGAGAAATGTCTCCGTACTACGTCTCGGACCATTCCATGAGAAATGTCTCCGTACTACGTCTCGGACAAATCCCCGAGTTGTGTCTCCGTACAATACCTCAGACCATTCCATCGAGGAAATGTCTCCGTACTACGTCTCGGACCATTCCACGAGAAATGTCTCCGTACTACGTCTCGGACCATTCCACGAGAAATATCTCCGTACTACGTCTCGGACCATTTCATGAGTTCTGTCCGTACTACGTCTCGGACCATTCCACGAGAAATGTCTCCGTACTATGTCTCGGACCATTCCACGAGAAATGTCTCCGTACTACGTCTCGGACCATTCCACGAGAAATGTCTCCGTACTACGTCTCGGACCATTCCACGAGAAATGTCTCCGTACTACGTCTCGGACCATTCCACGAGAAATATCTCCGTACTAAATTCCACGTCTCCGTACTACGTCTCGGACCATCCACGAGAAATATCTCCGTACTACGTCTTCTCCACGTGTCTCCGTACAACGTGTCTCCGTACTACGTCTCGGACCATTCCACGAGAAATATCTCCGTACTACGTCTCGGACCATTTCATGAGTTCTGTCCGTACTACGTCTCGGACCAATCCACGAGAAATATCTCCGTACTACGTCTCGGACCATTCCACGAGAAATATCTCCGTACTACGTCTCGGACCATTTCATGAGTTCTGTCTCCGTACTACGTCTCGGACCAATCCACGAGAAATATCTCCTTACTACGTCTCGGACCATTCCACGAGAAATATCTCCGTACTACGTCTCGGACCATTCCACGAGAAATGTCTCCGTACTACGTCTCGGACCATTCCACGAGATATGTCTCCGTACTACGTCTCGGACCATTCCACGAGAAATGTCTTGTTTTGATTGTTAAAAGTCTCCACCATTCTCTCTAACCCAAAAACCCCTTAGAATCAAAGGTTTTTTTATGTGCAATTAGCCTTGTTGGTTTTATTATTGTTGTTTTCATCATATCTTAAAAGGATTTTTATCAGAAATTATTGATGTTGTTGATATTTTCGGGACTTGTGATAACAGAGAAGCAATGACATCTCCTTAAGCTACCCGCTTAAACCTTAAAGAAGATATCAAGCAAATTCTGTAATATGTAGTATCTATGAATAGGCAAGTTTTCATTGTAGGTAAAATTCACAAGCCATGTCTATTCTCTTGTTTTCAATTCAAAGTCAGACTGTTTACAAGAAAAAAAAACAAAAGGTCGAAAATATGAATATTATGAAATTTTCAATAACATATGTCCTGTGTGATTTTAGTAAGATTTATGTAACTTATTTCAAAACTGTTGTGGACAGAGACCACAATGTGATTTATTTTGTTTCGTGTGTCGACATTTTTAATGGTGGGTGTTGTCGATGAAGCAAAAGACGCTTACTCTTCTGAAACACATGGTCTTATTCTCCTCGTATTTTTCACGAGTCACTATATAAATCTTTCTTTTGTTTATATCCCCCTCCAAAGTACCAATAACGTAACAACCACCTGCCAATGTTTTAAAAGTCTTAGTGTGGTAGTGGACATAAATCTGTTGTTTATTTATCTTATTTATTTTAACAGGTTTAACGTACACTATAACGACCTTTTGGTCTTTCAGCGGGCGAAGTAAATCTGTTAATAATTCCAGGGACACAGAGGATAAGAAACTTGGCCCTGTATTAACTTCCCTGACATTAGTTTTTGTGTTTGTGCACTGAACACTGATATCCCGTCTATTCCAAGTTCTTATCTAACCCTATCTCAATATCAAGCATATCTTGAAGTCATTCAACTGATTAAGAAAATAACACTATATCATAAGCGCACAACAATAATTTTTTTAAAAAGTTCTTCAAAATTAATAATCACTATTACAGCTATAATAAAAATCCTAAACCATTCAAATACATTAAAAAATATAGGTGACAATATTTCTCTCTGGGAGGGGCCGATATTACAATTAATGAAAGAAATGAGACAATTTACTATTTAATTTGACACAAGATTTCACATAAACGTATTTACATGGAGGAGTTTTCCTTTATTCAAAATTTTGAAAGTTTATGTCATAAATTTAAGTCTATCGACTTTCCTGAATGTTTTTTTTTAAAGTCGACAAAACCACTGTATAATCGTTAGTTTTTCCTTAGCAACATATAATTGAATGTAAGCACAAAAAAATGCGTCAACAGTACCAAGACCTGGCCTGAAGCCAAAGTGGGCATCCTATGTAACATCATAAGGTTTAAAATTTCGACATTCACTCCTATGCTGACCGGCCTGAGCCGCTGCCTTGTCACTGTCCATCCGTCCGTTATTTCATGTTCAGAGCCTAATTTTTCCCACAATTAACAAAGACTCATGAAACCTGCTGTATACACGGGTCATACTAAGGGGATGTGCGGTGTACCAAATTACAGAGGTATTGCCCTTTGATAAAATTTGTGTTTAGAGCACAAGTTTAATTGCTTGCAGTTAAATAAGAATAAAGAAACTTGGTGAATACATTGGTCATACTAAAATGACGTGTATTGTACCAAATCCAGGGCCTTCGACCCCTCAATTACAGAGTTATTGCCCTTCGTTAAAAATTATTATGTCCGGCTCATAATTATGTCCACAATGAAGCAAGGATCATGAAACTTAATGTATACATTGATCATACCAAAATGTGCATTGAATCAAATTCAGTGCCCTCGGCCTCTCAATTACAGAGTTATTGTCCTTTGTTAAAAATATCTTGTCCAGAGCATATCTTTGCTTGCATTTCAGGTGTATACAGTAATCTTATGAAAACAACGTGCAGTTCACTAATGTTAGGGCCCGCAACCCCGTTATTACAGAAGTATTATCCTTTGTTATAATTGTGTGTCCGAAGCATTATTTTGCCTGCATTTAAACTTAGAAAATGAAACATGATGTATATCAGTCATACAAAAAAAAAAAGGCTCAGTGTAGGCAAAGTCAGGGCCTGTGGCCCCTCAGTACAGAGTTATTGTCCTTTGTCCAAAATTTGTGTCATGAGCATAGTTTTGCTTGCATTAGATCCAGGATAATGAAACATGTTGTATATATTAAAACGAATGTGCAGTATATCAAATTCAAAGCGTGTGTCCCATAAAGTCGTTTTCGGGGGTGGGGAGGGCATTCATCAGCTCCACTGATACTCATTTCATAGCAAAAATATTACTGATAAATTAATGTGATTTATAACAAAACTGACATGAGTCAATTGGAAGATTACTCAGCTTTTAAATGTTATCAATTTGAGGGGTTTCTTCATATTTCTAACTGAAACGGTAAACAATAGAAGGTGGTGGAATTTCAATTTTAAATAGCTTAAACATACATTTTGTTTTATAAACATCCAAAGTTATCAGAAATTATTAGCACAATTGATTTGAAAATTATAATGTTTTTTTATTTCTGTTTATTTGGAAAAGATTAGGTATGTATTTTTTAGCAAATGAGTTCATATATATTGAAACGATAGTAATTGACCCGAACTGCTTCGTTATATCGTAGCAAAGAATTATCAACAGTGACTGGTCTTTGGAATTCACACATAAAAATGAAAATGTTCATACATTACTAAATACTGTTCCGATTTTCTAATATTTTCGTTTGTAATTCAAATTATCAATCACAGTTTAAGCTAAATAACTTCTGAATTCCAAATCCAAGCCTCTGTAGTTTTGATAGGAACGAATTGCAGATTCTAACGTCCGGATTCCGCGTCGTCAATTACTTTTTTATTATAACTTCCGGTGTTTTAAAGTAAACGAAAATAGAAAAAATGGCGGTAACAGAGAGCAAGATTACAGGATGGCTTTTGGAATATGTGTACCAAACAGCGTGGGATACGTTCAAGAAGAAACGATCGATAGATGAAGACTGTTGCAGGGATATCATTCAATGTAATTTTGTTAGTTTATGGGATTAGTCACCATTCAGCTACTGTAGTCTGTACCTCACATAAACATCGTACAAAGTGTCAACAAGCAATATTTGAATGTATCTCTTTCATAACGTAGGATAAGTATACAAAGAAATGCAATTCTGGGAGTCCTACTCCAGTAGACGCTTAATTCCACGGGCATATAAATTACGTCGCTAGATGCGAAATTGCGTCGCTTTAAAGACTGTTTGGTTATATATATTGACAGAGACGTATATATCACATATATATGATATATACGTCTATGATATTGAGATAGTTTTATATTCTGTATTTGGTAACTTTTCTTGAGGGGCTCGCTCAAATTTTGTGAACCCATATATCTCTTTGTATCGAGACTTGGAAATTGTGCACTGGACTAACCAGCAAAGAAATCTAACAAAATATTCAGATGTTATTATTTACTGTCATTTTTCTTGATTTATCAATAGTACCTAAATATTTTGTTGTGTTTAAGCTTGTGAAAAATATGCATAATAAAGATGTTAATTGCCTGTAATATTTATTTTAAATAAATGCTGGGTAATGAAAGAATGTAAGGTAACAGTTACTAAATAAAATCTTAATTACTTTCTATAAATACATATATACAGTATTATGAATACTATATCATGTCTGTGTGCATGTTAATATTTTTATTGCAAATTTCTTTTTTTTTTTTGTATTTTTTTTTTAAATATTTTGCAATCATTTCACCAGCAGTTATCAGTGAATACATACCTACTACTAGAACTTTGTCGTTATTTCAATTTTATAAAGACTGTTTCAAAATAAGGCTATATTATAAGAAATTTTTTGTGTTTGTCAAAATAAATGAATTACGCAGAGTACTGTTCTCAGGTTGTTTTATATAATAAATAGATATATGTATTAAATGAAGCGGAACAGTTACAACTACTAATTGGGGAGACTAAATTTGTGGAGAAAAAAATAGTTCTTCTTTACTGAACATTTAATATCAGAATTCAAATCAGACAACGTATATTAATATATGTCTTTTTACTGTACACAGGGTTGGTAAGCCAACAGTCTGTTGTTCAGACTTCTAACCCACAACATATGATGCAGCTTCAAATTCTCCTCCAGATGTCTCGCCTAACAGACGGAGAAAACTATGAGACACGTTACTCTGATGATAATGACTGGACTGTTCTAGAAGACATGCTTATATCCTTTAATGGACTGGCCAACAGTCTACCAGAATCGTTTAAACCCATGATGGAAAAAAACCGAGACTTAATCATTAAACAGGTATATCTTTCTTGACAAAAAAGTTTAGTCCTGTACAGGGTCTGTGTAAGGAAATATTTGCTAACTTTGTTATCAGCAAGTCGTTGTTGATTACAATCTCTCTGTTGAGAACTGGAAGTGCTAAGGTGTTAATTATCATCAAACAGGTGTCTCTGTCCTGATGATTTGTTGGTACAGTTATTGGAGTTCTAGTCTTCAATATTTTCTTTGCATTCTTGTGGACAGGATTTCCTGGACTTTAAAGAAATAGCTTTATATATGTATTGGTGAAATAATAATTGTCATATACAGGGCCAGCAAATTGTATGGTAATTGTAAAGTGTTTCAGACACTATTGCCTGAAATACTTAGCGAAGTCAGAGACATCAAAAGATATATATTGTATCAGTGCCTTTTTTTTTTATTCTCAGATATTTGAGTCCTGGACTCATGATTTTCCTGTGGGACTCACTCGGATATTAAAAACTCACTCTATAACCTTATTGGGACTTTTCAAAATTTTTGAGTTTGTATTCTAGACTTGCTGAAAAAATAGTCAAAAAATTTCTGCAATCTGAATATGATTAAGAAACATCTTTGTACCAAGTTTCATGTGGACATCAAAAAAATTTGAGTAATGTTGAGATAAATTTTCCTCAATTGATTTGCTTCTCATTACATTCATAATAATGTTTCCACAATTGGTCAATCAACAACGCAAAAATAATCACGCCTACTGAAAATCAAGGGAGGCTACTCTCACCATCTCTGACAAACAAAATGTCATCAGCATTGAACGTCATTCCCGATGATATCGGACTTAATTATACTTCTAAAGTATCGTTGAAGAAAAAATTAAAAGCGAACGGTTTCGTGTCTGGGTCATACTTTCAACGAGTGTCCTTCCAAACAAGAGACGATGATACAGTTGAAATTAGTGACCATGTTTTCCCCAGTCAGCGGAAAAATTTGGGGATATATACCATCTACGACCCGTTTTCAGTCGAATATTTATGAGGTTTTCATTTTCAAATAAGGCTAATATAGCAAATCACTGCATTTATTCAAAGACGATATATACACCAATCAATAGGGAATTCAAAATACTAAATTTGTATCTATGAATTACAGCCCTTTCCATTGTTGAAGGAGTAAAAACTGTCTTTTTCATTTGACGCATATTGCCAGAACCCAGTAAGTCGTCACACTACTACGATCGGTTTTTCAGACAAGTATTTCTGAGACGGTTTTTTACTTTTTAAACTAAGTTTATATGTGGTAGCAGAGCAATAATTAAATAAAGAAATATACCGGTCGTTAGGGAATTTAATAACCTAAAATTATGTATATATAACTTAAAATAGTCCTATTAAGTAGTCATGTACTTTCATTTCCCAATACTCACCATGTTAAATTGAGTCAATTTCAGTCTCTTTTGGTATACTGTGACGTCACTGGTCACTTATTGGGTTTTCAGATTTTTACTCAACTGTTTCCGTGAAATTGATAATTTTGCCATTTTAACAGTCAATTTCGCTTTTATGGTTCATCTTTGAACATTTTTATTTCTTGTAAAGTGGTCAAAGTAACCCATATTTTCATATATAAAAAAACCTTTTTCACTGAAGATACCCTTTAAACACCACACAATGTTGAATCTGTTTATGTTTTTTTTCCTCTTTACATTTTTGATAATAATTAAAAAGATTAAAAAAAAAAAAAGTTGAAGTGGTATGATAGTTTTCTATGGAGCAGAATTAATGAAATAAAAATAAAAACAGTCACCATGCAGGGTTAGCTCAGTTGGTAGAGCATAGGCTCCTCGACTAGAAGGGTGCAGAGGGCTGGGTGGGTTTGAATCCCGGCAGCAGCAATTTCTTTCCCATGAAGATTCACCTCTCACCTCTGTTTCAAGTGGGAATGAAGTGGTAAACCCCAAAGAAACAAACAAATTAAGTTTGCTTTTACAGTCGTATAAAGTCTTTGTAAAATTGCCACCAAGATACATCACTGATATAATGGTTACTTTCTAAACTGTCATTAAATTCTTAATTTTCTTTTTTTTTTAAATGCATATCATGTTAATGTTTTCTTCATCAAGAATATTAATACCAATTAATAATGCCAGTCTTCTCTTGTTTCTTGCAATGTTATATATTATCAGAGTTATTTCCCTTTGTTTACATTTTTACACATTTTGATCAATTTCCAAAAATACATGTTTTTTAATGAAATTTTACACTTACATGTATAAGGTATAACCAACTGAAGCAGATTTTGGCTGAAAATAAGACCTCTCTTTTTGCTATATAATGGAACATCACCCATGACACTTTGAAGTGCTTTCAAATGGCTTCATGTGTAAGATAGATTTTCTTTCAATGTACACATCAGTTTTCAATGAAATAAAATTAGAAGGTGTTAAATACATAAACAGAGGGGGAGGGGAATAGTTTGTCAATAAAATGATAATATCTATTTATAGTGTGCAACAATTCTTATGCCGTAAATTACTTATTAGTGTGTTTTGGGTCAAACTTCTGTGGTAATGGGTCTCGGTCAAATTCCTGTGGTAGTGGCGTTCTGTCTAATTCCCATGGCAGTGGGGCCAGTTATAATTCCTGTGGTTATTGGGCTCGATCTAATTCCTGTGGTAGTGGGGCTTGGTCTAATTCCTGTAGTTGTCGGGCTCTGTCTAATTTCTGGGGTAGTGGGGCTCAGTCTTGTTCATGTAGTTATGGGGCTCATGCACAGGAAAGTCTAATTCCTGTGGTAGTGGGGCTCGGTCTAATTCCTGTGGTAGTGGGGCTCAGTCTAATTCCTGTGGTTGAGGGGCTCGGTCTAATTCCTGTGGTAGTGGGGCTCGGTCTAATTCCTGTGGTAGTGGGGCTCGGTCTAATTCCTGTGGTAGTGGGGCTCTGTCTATTTCCTGTGGTAGTGGGGCTCAGTCTAATTCCTGTGGTAGTGGGGCTCGGTCTAATTCCTGTGGTAGTGGGGCTCGGTCTAATTCCTGTGGTAGTGGGGCTCGGTCTAATTCCTGTGGTAGTGGGGCTCGGTCTAATTCCTGTGGTAGTGGGGCTCGGTCTAATTCCTGTGGTAGTGGGGCTCGGTCTAATTCCTGTGGTAGTGGGGCTCGGTCTAATTCCTGTGGTAGTGGGGCTCGGTCTAATTCCTGTAGTTGTAGGGCTCTGTCTATTTCCTGTGGTAGTGGGGCTCGGTCTAATTCCTGTGGTAGTGGGGCTCGGTCTAATTCCTGTAGTTGTGGGGCTCTGTCTAATTCCTGTGGTAGTGGGGCTCTGTCTAAGTGGGGCTCCTGTGTGGTAGTGGGGCTCTAGGTCTAAATTCCTGTGGTAGTGGGGCTCGGTGGGGCTCGGTCTAATTCCTGTGGTAGTGGGGCTCGGTCTAATTCCTGTAGTTGTGGGGCTCTGTCTATTTCCTGTGGTAGTGGGGCTCTGTCTATTTCCTGTGGTAGTGGGGCTCAGTCTAATTCCTGTGGTTGAGGGGCTTGGTCTAATTTCTGTGGTAGTGGGGCTCGGTCTAATTCCTGTGGTAGTGGGGCTTGGTCTAATTTCTGTGATAGTGGGGCTTGGTCTAATTTCTGTGGTAGTGGGGCTATGTAACTTTTCCTACCTACAATCATGTGGTCTAGGTTTCTGTTAGAAGTGAGCAATGAGATTGATGAGATGAATCATATCTGTCACAACAAAAACTAAATATCTACCTTGGTGTCATATGATTGTATAAAACTTAATTTACATGCATTGTATGTAGCACACAATGAAAATGTGACAAGGAAAAAGAACAAAGTCATTAACGGTACCTGGACTTCTGTAGCATATTTGACGCACCATATTATAACTACCAAAATAAACCACTTATACTGGTAATCTATTGTGAAGTTTTATTGAGGGTTCAGTATCCAATACTAATGCCAGTGGCAATGTCTGCATTTGGAACTTTAAATTGTTTCAATGAATTGTAACTTTTTTTACATAAATTTCAATTATTCAATTGAAAATGTATACAAAATTTCAACTTTGGCTGCTGGTAGTCATCTTCTATAAAAGAGTCTGATTGTTTTGCGTGTGATGTATTTTATCTCCCATTTAAAGTTACAAATACCTCTGTTATCAACATGTTTAGCTTTGTTGCCAGTTGTTTCAGTTCTGTGCTAGATCTTTGTTCTTGACGTAAATAGTTTTTGCTTTTAAACAGAAACTACATTTTATACGTTGTTTTTCAGGCAGTGTTGGTGGCTTGTAGAGAAGATGACTTCATCGCAGCTCAGGAAATCTTCCAGAGAATCTCGAATCAGATTACAGATAAGGTAGGATGTAATTAATTTTCTGATGTGTTAACTCATTTGTAGTGGTAATTGGAAGAGGGGGAACGATATCATACAGACTGATTACAACTTCTGTGGGTAAAACAATAATCACTGAAATAGGTTTGAGATAAGCAGATTACTGATTACCGCAAACATGGTAAAACATTTAAGGGACAAAACTATGCTTAACATGAAAAAAAAGGTAAGAAATATGTTTAAAAAAAATATAAATAATTGTATATTCAAACACATAAGTGAAGAGTCTGACACAATGTGTAATAAAAAAAATGAAGTCTATTAATATTATTCTTACTATGAACATTACAAGGCTTTTTCTGTGTTAGAGTGATGATTTTGAATATAAAAAGAGACTATAATTCAAAATAATATGTACTGAAGTTTCTTTTTAATCAACTTGTCAATTTCGTCACTTGGCTTCGCTGACAAAGTTATACCCCCTAGACCAGTAACTTCCGAGTCATTTCAAAGCTTTGCAATACAGACTCTTTCAAACATGCAATTGTTCTAATGCATGATGTAGCATTCTGAAATAAAATGGAGGCGACAAACAGAGTACTTCTAAGCTTTGGAATTCAAAAACAAATATTTAGGCTAATAAACCTTACACAGTGTCCCCTTGTGGTCAGATCATCTAATAATGTCATAACGAACTCAGATTACGTGTGTGGTCATTTGGTCATTAAAATAAAAAATAAGAATTGTTAGATAAATACTTGCTCAGTTATGAAAAACATCATATTTGAAAAAAATCTTGGCAAGAGCCAAGCCCTAGAAGTTTTCTACATTCAATTGAAGAGAAAATTATTGGACAAGATTACAAAATCTGTTGTAAAATGTACACTGTGTTTTGTAGCAGACTCCTCTATATTTCGTTTCAGGGTATTACAGATAAATTAAAGGCAGTTCTTGTAGCAGAATCAAAAGATCACAAATATGTGACAAATAAAATGAACAGTTACACATCGTTTGTGTCGAATTGTATAATAATGATATCAGAGTTCAACAAGGAGTTTGATGTGCCCTTCCTCACAAAGGTTTGTACATTATGTCAATCAGACAACTTAAAAATGACAAGGATTTTTTTTTCTTTCATGCCATACTTTGTACCTGGCTACTGATTAGCTATAAGCTAAAGTTACAAAGTCACAGGCTACTGTGAGATTCAGATGCTGGATGGAGGTAACATTGATTTGGTCAGTGTGTAATTATCTTTATTGCAATAAAAGTAAAACACTATACTGTCTTAGCTGTCTGCTTTACTGGAATGAAATTGTTTAAAGTTTCATTTCCATCTAAGCAATACTTGTCTAATGACTTGTTCATGTGATGGCTGTAAGTTACTCAGCATCAAAAGTCAATTCATCTTAAATGTTGTAGGTGGCTGATGTACAAAGGCGACAAGAGAGAAAACACAAAGACACCAATCTCTCAGACAACAACAGGTAAGAGGACTGTGAGAAACTGATAATATGGCAGATCAACAGGGAATTTATCAGGTCATTAGGGAATTTATCAAATCAACAGGGACTTTATCAGATCACTAGGGAATTTATCAGATCACTAGGGAATTTATCAGATCACTAGGGAATTTATCAGATCAACAGGGACTTTATCATATCAACAGGGAATTTATCAGATCACTAGGGAATTTATCAGATCAACAGGGACTTTATCAGATCACTAGGGAATTTATCAGGTCATTAGGGAATTTATCAGATCACTAGGGAATTTATCAGATCAACAGAGAATTTATCAGATCACTAGGGAATTTATCAGATCAACAGGGAATTTATCAGATCAACAGGGAATTTATCAGATCAACAGGGACTTTATCAGATCAACAGGGAATTTATCAGATCACTAGGGAATTATCACTAGGGAATTTATCAGATCACTAGGGAATTTATCAGATCACTAGGGAATTTATCAGATCACTAGGGAATTTATCAGATCACTAGGGAATTTATCAGATCAACAGGGAATTTATCAGATCACCAGGGAATTTATCAGATAACTTGGGAATGTATGAGATCACCAGGGAATATATTAGATCACTTGGGAATTTATCAGATCACTTGGGAATTTATCAGATTACTAGGGAATTTATCAGATCACTAGGGATCACTAGAAAATTATTTGTATCATTTGGGAATCAGTCCGACAGCAGTTTGATTTTGGTACTATTTTGAAAAACAAATTGGATGACTAGTGGCCATCTTTTATTTGACAGTTTCAGACAGTTATCACTATGTTTTTGAAGAATTTTCAAATTTTACATGACTAAGAGCAAGAATTGAGGAAAAGATAGAAAAAAAGAAAAGATCCAACTTTTGAAGAGCAAATAAAGACCAAACAATAGTGAGTGCCAAGATCCCTTTGAGATTTCTTGTACCTTTATAAAAACATATTAAATAATATTTGACACTTAATATATATACAGGAAAAGGTTAGCATTACTTAAAGCTGTGTCTAAGAAGATGTTGGCAGGAAAGGAATCCCTAGCATTGAATCAGGGAGACGAAAGAGAGATGAGAGAGGCACTCAGGACCACAAGAGATAGGGTAAGTGTATATGCCTTTCGATCCCTAGGCCTAGTATTGAATCAGGGAGATAAGAGAGAGATGAGAGGAATGCTCTGGACCACAAGAGATAGGGAAAGTGTACATGTCTTCCAGCCCCTAGATCTAGTATTTAATTGAGGAGATAAGAGGGAGATGAATACCAGAGACTCCCCCCACCCAAAACTTTCAATTTTCCTGAGTTAAGTCTTTCATTGTTCATTATGACCTTTGGCCCTTTCTTTTATATATCTACAGGTCTTTGTTATTTTGTAGATCTGTAGTGGGTGACATGGTAACTATATATCTACAGGTCTTTGTTATTTTGTAGATCTGTAGTGGGTGACATGGTAACTATATATCTACAGGTCTTTGTTATTTTGTTTTTTCTGTAGTGGGTGACATGGTAACTATATATCTACAGGTCTTTGTTATTTTGTAGATCTGTAGTGGGTGACATGGTAACTATATATCTACAGGTCTTTGTTATTTTGTAGATCTGTAGTGGGTGACATGGTATATAGGTCTTTGTTATTTTGTAGATTCTGTAGTGGGTGACATGGTAACTATATATCTACTTTGTTATTTTGTAGATTCTGTAGTGTGACATGGTAACTATATATCTACAGGTCTTTGTTATTTTGTAGATCTGTAGTGGGTGACATGGTAACTATATATCTACAGGTCTTTGTTATTTTGTAGATCTGTAGTGGGTGACATGGTAACTATATATCTACAGGTCTTTGTTATTTTGTAGATTCTGTAGTGGGTGACATGGTAACTATATATCTACAGGTCTTTGTTATTTTGTAGATCTGTAGTGGGTGACATGGTAACTATATATCTACAGGTCTTTGTTATTTTGTAGATTCTGTAGTGGGTGACATGGTAACTATATATCTACAGGTCTTTGTTATTTTGTAGATCTGTAGTGGGTGACATGGTAACTATATATCTACAGGTCTTTGTTATTTTGTAGATCTGTAGTGGGTGACATGGTAACTAAATATCTACAGGTCTTTGCTAGGTTGTAGATTCTGTAGTGGGTGACATGGTAACTATATATCTACAGGTCTTTGTTATTTTGTAGATTGTGTAGTGGGTGACATGGTAACTATATATCTATCTTTGTTATAGATCATGGTACTATATATCTACAGGTCTTTGTTATTTTGTAGATCTGTAGTGGGTGACATGGTAACTATATATCTACAGGTCTTTGTTATTTTGTAGATCTGTAGTGGGTGACATGGTAACTATATATCTACAGGTCTTTGTTATTTTGTAGATTCTGTAGTGGGTGACATAGTAACTAAATATCTACAGGTCTTTGCTAGGTTGTAGATCTGTAGTGGGTGACATGGTAACTATATATCTACAGGTCTTTGTTATTTTGTAGATTCTGTAGTGGGTGACATGGTAACTATATATCTATAGGTCTTTGTTATTTTGTAGATCTGTAGTGAGTGACATGGTTACTAAATATCTACAGGTCTTTGCTAGGTTGTAGATTCTGTAGTGGGTGACATGGTAACTATATATCTACAGGTCTTTGTTATTTTGTAGATCTGTAGTGGGTGACATGGTAACTAAATATCTACAGGTCTTTGCTAGGTTGTAGATTGTGTAGTGGGTGACATGGTAACTATATATCTACAGGTCTTTGTTATTTTGTAGATTCTGTAGTGGGTGACATGGTAACTATATATCTACAGGTCTTTGTTATTTTGTAGATCTGTAGTGGGTGACATGGTAACTATATATCTACAGGTCTTTGTTATTTTGTAGATTCTGTAGTGGGTGACATGGTAACTATATATCTACAGGTCTTTGTTATTTTGTAGATCTGTAGTGGGTGACATGGTAACTATATATCTACAGGTCTTTGTTATTTTGTAGATCTGTAGTGGGTGACATGGTAACTATATATCTACAGGTCTTTGTTATTTTGTAGATTCTGTAGTGGGTGACATGGTGTAGTCTTTGCTAGGTTGTAGATTCTGACATGGTAACTATATATCTACAGGTCATGGTAACTATATATCTACAGGTCTTTGTTATTTTGTAGATTCTGTAGTGGGTGACATGGTAACTATATATCTACAGGTCTTTGTTATTTTGTAGATTCTGTAGTGGGTGACATGGTAACTATATATCTACAGGTCTTTGTTATTTTGTAGATCTGTAGTGGGTGACATGGTAACTATATATCTATAGGTCTTTGTTATTTTGTAGATTCTGTAGTGGGTGACATGGTAACTATATATCTACAGGTCTTTGTTATTTTGTAGATTCTGTAGTGGGTGACATGGTAACTATATATCTACAGGTTTTGTTATTTTGTAGATTCTGTAGTGGGTGACATGGTCTTTGTTAACTATATATCTACAGGTCTTTGTTATTTTGTAGATCTTTAGTGGGTGACATGGTAACTATATATCTACAGGTCTTTGTTATTTTGTAGATCTGTAGTGTGACATGGTAACTATATATCTACAGGTTTTGTTATTTTGTAGATTCTGTAGTGGGTGACATGGTAACTATATATTTGTAGATCTAGTAGTGACATGGTGAGGTTGTAGATTCTAGTGGGTGACATGGTATATATATCTACAGTCTTTGTTATTTTGTAGATTCTGTAGTGGGTGACATGGTAACTATATATCTACAGGTCTTTGTTATTTTGTAGATTGTGTAGTGGGTGACATGGTAACTACATATCTACAGGTCTTTGTTATTTTGTAGATTGTGTAGTGGGTGACATGGTAACTATATATCTACAGGTCTTTGTTATTTTGTAGATTGTGTAGTGGGTGACATGGTAACTATATATCTATAGGTCTTTGTTATTTTGTAGATCTGTAGTGGGTGACATGGTTACTAAATATCTATAGGTCTTTGTTATTTTGTAGATTCTGTAGTTGATGACATGGTAACTATATATCTACAGGTCTTTGTTATTTTGTAGATCTGTAGTGGGTGACATGGTAACTATATATCTACAGGTCTTTGTTATTTTGTAGATTGTGTAGTGGGTGACATGGTAACTACATATCTACAGGTCTTTGTTATTTTGTAGAGTTGATGACATGGTAACTATATATCTACAGGTCTTTGAATGGTAACTATATATCTACAGGTCTTTGTTAGTAATTCTGTAAGATTTTAAATCTCCAGAGAAAGTTCCTCACCAACACATGAAAACCTTGTCTCCTGTGCCTGATGATGAAGGTAAAGTTGAACAATGTACTATTCCAAATTTCAGCTTTTTTATTGTTGTGTGTCTAAATGAGACAGTGATAGTATAGATTCTGAGTCTAAACTATCAGATTAATGTACCACTTCCCTTCACTGATTTGTTGTTCCAGAGCTGAGTAAGTCTGGCTATTGTACCACTCCCCTCCACTAATTTGCTGTTCCAGAGCTGAGTAAGCCTGGCTATTGTACCACTCCCCTCCACTAATTTGCTGTTCCAGAGCTGAGTAAGTCTGGCTATTGTACCACTCCCCTCCACTAATTTGCTGTTCCAGAGCTGAGTAAGCCTGGCTATTGTACCACTCCCCTCCACTAATTTGCTGTTCCAGAGCTGAGTAAGCCTGGCTATTGTACCACTCCCCTCCACTAATTTGCTGTTCCAGAGCTGAGTAAGCCTGGCTATTGTACCACTTTGTTGTTCCAGAGCTGAGTAAGTTGTGTTCCAGAGCTGAGTAAGCCTGGCTATTGTACCACTCCCCTCCACTGATTTGCTGTTCCAGAGCTGAGTAAGCCTGGCTATTGTACCACTCCCCTCCACTAATTTGCTGTTCCAGAGCTGAGTAAGCCTGGCTATTGTACCACTCCCCTCCACTAATTTGTTGTTCCAGAGCTGAGTAAGCCTGGCTATTGTACCACTCCCCTCCACTGATTTGCTGTTCCAGAGCTGAGTAAGCCTGGCTATTGTACCACTCCCCTCCACTAATTTGTTGTTCCAGAGCTGAGTAAGCCTGGCTATTCCCCTCCACTGTATTTGCTGTTCAGCTGAGTAAGCCTGGCTATTGTCTCCCCTCCACTGATTTGCTGTTCCAGAGCTGAGTAAGCCTGGCTATTGTACCACTCCCCTCCACTGATTTGCTGTTCCAGAGCTGAGTAAGCCTGGCTATTGTACCACTCCCCTCCACTGATTTGCTGTTCCAGAGCTGAGTAAGCCTGGCTATTGTACCACTCCCCTCCACTAATTTGCTGTTCCAGAGCTGAGTAAGCCTGGCTATTGTACCACTCCCCTCCACTGATTTGCTGTTCCAGAGCTGAGTAAGCCTGGCTATTGTACCACTCCCCTCCACTGATTTGCTGTTCCAGAGCTGAGTAAGCCTGGCTATTGTACCACTCCCCTCCACTAATTTGCTGTTCCAGAGCTGAGTAAGCCTGGCTATTGTACCACTCCCCTCCACTAATTTGCTGTTCCAGAGCTGAGTAAGCCTGGCTATTGTACCACTCCCCTCCACTAATTTGCTGTTCCAGAGCTGAGTAAGCCTGGCTATTGTACCACTCCCCTCCACTAATTTGCTGTTCCAGAGCTGAGTAAGCCTGGCTATTGTACCACTCCCCTCCACTAATTTGCTGTTCCAGAGCTGTTCCAGAGCTGAGTAAGTCTGGCTATTGTACCACTCCCCTCCACTGATTTGCTGTTCCAGAGCTGAGTAAGCCTGGCTATTGTACCACTTCCCTCCACTAATTTGTTGTTCCAGTGCTGAGTAAGCCTGGCTATTGTACCACTCCCCTCCACTAATTTGCTGTTCCAGAGCTGAGTAAGTCTGGCTTTTGTACCACTCCTGTTCACTAAACTTTGACTTATGTGTATAATTTCTCATTTTCAGAAAATGACAAAAGGACCGACTTAGATTTCAACCCACTAAGGTAATATTTCTGTTGTTTTCTAATAATATTGATTATCGTATTAAGATATTGAAGCATCTGTAATAACAAACAATTATATTTGTGTTTTGGAATAGCAGTGACATGTTTGATAGAATTTGGCATGAAGGTTTACTTTGTAAGTTGGAGTCATATGGTGTAGAGGGTAGAGTGTTATGTTGGTTTAAGTTGGAGTCATATGGTGTAGAGGGTAGAGTGTTATGTTGGTTTAAGTTGGAGTCATATGGTGTAGAGGGTAGAGTGTTATGTTGGTTTAAGTTGGAGTCATATGGTGTAGAGGGTAGAGTGTTATGTTGGTTTAAGTTGGAGTCATATGGTGTAGAGGGTAGAGTGTTATGTTGGATTAAGTTGGAGTCATATGGTGTAGAGGGTAGAGTGTTATGTTGGTTTAAGTTGGAGTCATATGGTGTAGAGGGTAGAGTGTTATGTTGGTTTAAGTTGGAGTCATATGGTGTAGAGGGTAGAGTGTTATGTTGGATTAAGTTGGAGTCATATGGTGTAGAGGGTAGAGTGTTATGTTGGTTTAAGTTGGAGTCATATGGTGTAGAGGGTAGAGTGTTATGTTGGTTTAAGTTGGAGTCATATGGTGTAGAGGGTAAAGTGTTATGTTGGTTTAAAGAATATTGTTCAAATGGAAACAAATGGTGTCAACAGAGAGAGTTTAAACAACACAAACATTTAGAGTTCTTCAAGGCTCAGTCTCTGGTCCATTCTCTTTTTTTCAGTTTCTATCAACAATTTAACTGACTGTTACAAAGAAAATCAAATTAAGTAATATTGACAAGTGGGATATCAATTTTGATTAGAAACAGAAAAGGACATCCTGATATTTTTATTTCCATATGACAGAGTCAGCCCTGTCATAGCTCACAAACACTTATAAGACTCAGACTTTTGACCTCATGTTTTGTAAATAAAAATTGTGTTCATTTTGAGATTGTCCTGCAGAATTTATATATTCTGTCCTTCAATTGCTTATGCAGAGAGATTTATTTTGCTACACTTTAAGCCATATAAGGAAAAACCTCTGAGATATGGGATGATGATTGGAGTGTTTGTTAGAATAAATACATATGTTTACTGTATATCTAATGCTTTTGTAACACCAATCTTATAATAATACAGGGAAGTTGTATGGGATAATTGTAAAACCAAAATAAAAGTTTAATTATGGACATTGAGAATAACTACACCATAAGGAAGAGGCATAATATTGATAACTCTTAGTTTTAAGTGTTATTAACTTGTACTCATGTACAAAATTCTGTATAGAAGTCATTCAAGATGGTAGATCCAAGGATCTTGGGTCAAGGTAAAATGTTCAGTCTTTTTTCATCATACCTTGGATAAAGCCCAATAAAGTTTGCATAAATAAATTACCTTGAACTTTATTCATTCTTTTTATTTCATTACTTTGGTTGAGAGATGCTTCTTGGTGTAAAACAGTTGCCACAGCAAAAGTAGATCTGTAAACATCACTTGTAAAACAGTAACATGATAAATAGACATGGAGAATTTCACTTTTGCCATCAGTTTTGGCTCAGCAAGTTCTGCACATTTGAGTATATTCAGTACTTTTTTATATGATTTAACTTTGTAGGTCCCCTAAAGGTATTCGACAGCACAGTTATCGGAAGAATATCAGTCGACCTGATCGTCATACAACGGACAGATCAGATGGAGCTAACTCTGACGACCAAGAGGATGGTTCAGAAAAAGGTAGGAATTTACTGGTGAAATACGTGTATGGTTTTGTAGAGGGGGAATTAGATATATTTCAGAAAGAAAATTCATGTATGGCAATTTCCTTGTATCTTATGTGAAATTGAATTTGGTTTAGAAGTTATCAAATGATATTCCACTTTAATGCAAATTCATACTGAGAAAAAAATAATGAAAGTATTTAGGTCACATGATCATAGATTTTGCCATACTGCATCATGTCAACCCTTTTTCCGAAAAACTGATTCTTGTCAAAAGTGACTAAGCAGATTTTGACCAAATACAGTCAGAGGCATCCTTGAGTAAAGCAGTTCAATTTTTAGGCCACCTTAGACAAAGTCTCAGGATGACCTATCGTAATCCCCCTTTGCCGTGCATCGTAAACTTTAAACATTTTCAACTTCTTCTGAAAAACTCCTGAACCGATTTCAATCAAATTATCCCAAAATCTTTCATGGCTTAAGGCGCACAAAAACTGTAAACCCTAGGGGCATGAAGGGCAGGGGCCAAAAAAGGGTCAAATTGATTAAACTTCAAAAATCATCTTCTCAAATCCCAGGTATGGCAGAATCAAGTACTCCTCATGGATGGAAAGGCATTCAGATGCTTTACCAAAAATGTAAATTTCATGACCCCAGGGCCTCAATTTTCTGTTTGGGGAGAGGGTAAAGTGTACTATAGTTTATATAGGAAAATCACATTTTTGAGCATATTTTGTTGATCTTCCAGAAGTAGTTCAAACTCCGTTAGAATAATTTTTTATTAGTATAAGATGCACGTAAGTGGGTCAAATTGACTGAAATTTTAAAGATGTTCCACTGTTCCTGGATGGAAGATTTTATATAGGAAAATTGAAATCAGGAATGAAATTCCTTTTAATTCAAACTTGGTTAGAAGCCTTAGCTTGGGACAGCAGTTAATGTATACACAATTTTCATTTGCATTATGTGTACAATATAGTTAAAATTATATTACTTTTTTAACAAAATCATTTCTGTAAGATGTTATAAGAATCATTGTGACTTAGGTGACAGTTAAGGCCCTTTGGCCTCTTGTGTATAAAAGGTGAATTCTCTTCCCCTTGGGACAGAAAGGGCAGGGCTCATTATAGAAAAAAGAGCAAATTGAGTAAAATCCTAATATTCCTGTAGGAATCATTGCATTTTGACCATAATTGGTTTGAAGCATCCTTGGGTGAAGGGGAATCAGGGGCTGAATAGGGAGATGGAGCAAAATATTTAAATTCCATCTTTAGTAGGAATAATTGGATTCTGTCTAATTGTAGTCTGAAACATTCTTGTGCCACTCTTGCATATTGGGTCTTTGCCCACTTGGGTTGGAGGGACTGGACCTAATAAGAGGTATAGAGGTAATTCTATAAAATTCCTCTTGTTTTGTAGAGATATAGCCAGAAGCATCCTATGGGAAAGGAAATGGTTTTGTATAAATGATGGGTTTGGCCTAGTGGGGTCTTGTTTAAACTCCTTCTTCTTTAGGAATGATCGGATTTAGTCCAAAGTTGATCTGAAGCATTTTTAGGTAAAGGGTACTTAGTGATTTATAAATGAAGAGTCAGACCCCCTGGGATTTGATGAAAAAGTCAATAGAGGGATAAGTGATAAGTTAATATTCTGTAAGGATGAAAGTCAGTTTTGATCTATTTTAGTTTGAAACATCCTTGGATTGAGTTGGACCATCCTCGATACTTCAGGGATTACGATCACTTTCGCTCTCTGCACCCCTTGAACATGTCATGACAAATCTGAAGGTTCCGTCTGTTCAACCTTGTGGAGAAGACAAAAAGGCTAGTTTGGTCCTTTGATGTATATCCCAAGGTCGTATAATGGTATTCTGCAATGGCTTTGAAGTTGGGTGTCACACTTTTGTTATCTTCAAAAGGAGTGCATCAGCCTGTGATTGGTCAGTTTTGGTTTTTTTTTTGCTCCTGGAACTTATCAAATGACTTCGCTTTTACCTTCAATTTTGTTAGGAAGTGTTCTAGGGATGCAGAGAGCGAAAGTGATTGGAACCCCAGGAGTATTGAAGATGGAGTTGGATTAAATTTTGTATGAATTAAAGATCTGAATCCCCTGGGTAAAATATCTTAAATTCTTCTCTGTTTGGATTAATTTACTTTGTTATTTATTTTTTGTTCTTTTTTTCTTTCTTTCAGAACAACCATTAAGAAAACGTGTAGAAAACAAGCAGAATTATATTTCTAGTCCCTTTCAAAGTCAGAGGTCAATTTTACGACCCAGTAGTCCAACAGAGTCAACTTTTTCTTCCCGTAAGACGATGTGGGGATATAAAGAGACAGAGGAATTTTACCAGGCTGTACAAGAGTTTGGTGTTGGAAGATGGGGAGAGATCCGCAAAGCATTGGGTACTTTTAGAACCAATGTCAATCTTAAAGACAAATGGAGAACAATTCTGAAGACAAAAGAAATTTTGTCGTTAGAAAAGAAGTTTGGCCCTGTGTAAATTACCTGCATATAAAATCTACTCCACATGTTACAGATGTTAATAATTATTGACAAGAACCATCATGAAGTATTGGACAGATTGATGACGCTGAAAGCTGGACAAACAAATTTCTTCTTTCATTTAAAAAAAATAGTTGGATTTATAAGTTCTCCAGTACTCATTGGATTGCATGTAGAATTGATATTTGTAGTGTCCATTTTGTGTAGAATTATGATATTTGAAGTGTCCGTCTTGTGTAGAATTATGATATTTGTAGCGTCCGTTTTGTGTAGAATTATGATATTTGTAGCGTCCGTCTTGTGTAGAATTATGTTATTTGTAGCGTCCGTCTTGTGTAGAATTATGTTATTTGTAGCGTCCGTCTTGTGTAGAATTATGTTATTTGTAGTGTCCGTCTTGTGTAGAATTATGTTATTTGTAGTGTCCGTCTTGTAGAATTACCTGTTTGTCTTGTGTAGAATAACATTTTTTGTAGTGTCCATCACATGGAGTAGATTCAGTCCAATATTATTGATGTTTAAGTGAGTCATTGTGTAAAGTGCAGGTAACCAAATGTTTGTGTTAAAATGAATTGATGATCTTGTCCATCTGTATGTGTATTTGTTATTGTAAAATTTAAACTCAAAGTGTGTTCAAGATTATTTTAATATTCTCCACCTTAGACCAGAAATAGAATGTGTTATCGTCCTCTTTTTACAAACTTTTCACCAACAGAACATGCATTTGTCAAATGAAAGCATCTCATTGATTTCATTGATTTGATTGTGCATGAAATTTGATTATTTTGAAAATCTATCTTGTCCCTCCCCCCTATTTCTTGACAAAGTTAATAGAAATATAATGAAGTATGCCATTTTAAAGTATTTTCAATCTTTTATATGAAAACAAAGAAATTTCAAATGCATATTTTTTTTCTTTTTAGAAATGAGATTTCCATTTTAGTTAGGTTATCCACATTTTATTTATAGAATCACTACTTAAATACTTATCAACACGTTGGTGCTTTCTGGATTTCATTTGCCCAAATGTTTTCATTTTTTACATTTTTATTTTAAAATTTTGTTTTGCATTGAAATAACTTAATCAACATTATAAATCAAAATGTATTCTTGCCCAGAATTGTTAAAGATATATCTTAATGAAAAATGAAGAGAATTTATGTTACTCTTAGGCTGTGTACAGTGCCCTTGGTTTTACGTCAACAACCTATCAACACCTTTGATAGTCTATCAAAATATGAAATCATTGTGTTAAAAGAATTTTTAAATACTCTTCTAAAAAAAAGGGTTGATAAGAGAAGTGAATATATGTCAAAGTATATTGTTCATTATTACACTGTAATGAAGTCACTGTGACTTTCAACTGAAAGTTTCCATCACTGAAAATTCAAACTTATCAAATATTTCTCCTGAAGAGTAGTTTGCTATACTGTTATTTAGTATAGTTGACCTAAACTAAATTGCAAGTCATCCATCTGAAGTCAAGGTCACCAGGTCAGAGGTTGAGGTCTAATACTTGGTATATAATCTACATACTTTATTTTATATTTTAACATTATTATGCAAAGTCGACACTTGATAAGTCACACATAGTTTCGACTGCAGGTCACAATGATAAAGGTCAAGGTCAAATTTTCTAGTAAAAAAGAAATCATATGTTGCCATAGGTCAGGATTACTGGTGTGGATTGAATATCATTGTGGTTGTTTATTTCTTAACTGTAAATATTTTGTGTTTAAAGAAACATTTTCAGAAGTATATTTGTAAATAAATAATTTGTAAACCAAATGTCTCCAGACACAGGCAGACAGCACTTAAGGTGATTTCAAGCGTTGATCAGGTTTTCATGGAAAGGAATTTTTAAGTAACAGATAAGAAGTGTGGAGTTGTTATCATGGTTGATGTTTTTGTAGGGTTGTCGTCTTCAGTAATTTTGTGTTATCCTCAAAATTTCTTTATTTCAAACAAGCCTTTTTTTTTCCTTGAAAAGAGTATATTAAATTAGATATTTGTGTGAATATCTATTGTATGTTAATTACCTGTCTTCAAAATTATCACCCTGTTTCACCATCAAAGGCCAGTAACTTTACAAATATTTCCAACGGCAATGTTCAGTCTTTATAACTATTTATGCAACATGTCTTTTGTATGTAATGCAGTAGCCGTGTCTGTATACATATTACATGTATTGACTGTAGACACCGGTTCAGTGTTGTTTAATGAGGATATGTTCTGAAGTGAAATATCAAACACATAGTTTGATAAAATTGCTATTTAGGTGCAAACATTCATTTCTTTAGTGTATGACAGGTGAGACACGTTACTTTAGTGTATGACAGGTAAGAAACGATCACACATTACTTTAGTGTATGACGGGTGAGACACGTTACTTTAGTGTATGACAGGTAAGAAACGATCACATGTTACTTTAGTGTATGACGGGTGAGACACGTTCACATGTTACTTCAGTGTATGACAGGTAAGAAACGATCACACATTACTTTAGTATATGACAGGTGAGACACGATCACACGTTACTTTAGTATATGACAGGTGAGAAACGATCACACGTTACTTTAGTGTATGACAGGTAAGAAACGATCACATGTTACTTTATGACAGGTAAGAAACGATCACATGTTACTTTATGACAGGTAAGAAACGATCATACGTTACTTTAGTGTATGACAGGTGAGACACGTTACTTTAGTATATGACAGGTGAGAAACGATCACACGTTACTTTAGTGTATGATGGGTGAGACACGATCATTCATTTATTCAGTGTATGACAGGTGATACACAATCATGTGTCACTTCAGTGTTTGACAGGTGAGACACGATCATTAACTTTAGTGTATGATGGGTGAGACACGATCATTTGTTACTTTAGAATATAACAGGTGAGACACGAACATGTGTTACTTCAGTGTATGACAGGTAAGAACCGATCATTAACTTTAGTGTATGATGGGTGAGACACGATCATTTCTTACTTCAGTATATGACAGGTGAGAGCCATTCATTCGTTAATTCAGTATATGACCGGTGAGAAACGATCATTCATTAACTTAGACAAAAAAATCTCACACATTTAAATCAGATTCCAGGTTTATATATATATACAGTCTGCTTTTCTGTAGTATTTTTTGTCTTTGAATTATTATTATTTACCTTTGTAAAATGATTCAAATTGCTCGTTAATACTGCATAAAAAACATTAAACTGTTTTCAGGAGTTTGTCTTGTTTATTTCAAAATGATTTTTAAATAATGGTCAAATACACGTACAGGAGGGCCTGTTTTGCTCACCTGACTAATGGGGTTGAAATCAGCTCAGGCTTTATGGAAGAGAACTTTTTTAAAGCAAAATTTTGGCTTAATGCCCCACTTGTGGCTCCACTCATCTACCTGTTGTAGCAACTTCACATATTTAAGAAATGATTGCTCTCCCCAGGTGATGTTGAAATCCATCAGGACTTTAAGGTAGAGTAGCACTTTTAAGTGAGAAGTTTACCCATGGCACATCAAGAATGACAAAACAGGATGGCTTTAAGAAATGATTTTCCTTTCCAAGTGATGTTCCAGAAAAACTTTTGTCGAAATATGCTTTTGGGTCAGATAAAGTGATAATGAATATTTTCAACATTTTAATTCATTTTTTTTATAAACAATAAATAACATTTAGTTTACAAAAACATCACAATATAAATACTAGTCTCTTACATTATTCATATCAGAAGAAACATTGGTATTTAATTAACAAACTATACAGTATGTTGCCATACAGATACATGTCACCATACAGGTCACTTTTACATGTCAACATAAAGGTCACTATGACATGTCTCCATACAGGTTGCTGCAACATGTCTTCATACAGGCCACTTAATGTCACCATACTGGTCATTGTAACATATCACCATACAGGCCACTTGAAGATGTCACCATACTGGTCACTGTAACATATCACCATACAGGCCACTTGAAGATGTCACCATACTGGTCATTGTAACATATCACCATACAGGCCACTTTAAGATGTCACCATACTGGTCATTGTAACATATCACCATACCGGCCACTTTAAGATGTCACCATACTCGTCATTGTAACATATCACCATACAGGCCACTTTAAGATGTCACCATACTGGTCATTGTAACATATCACCATACAGGCCACTTTAAGATGTCACCATACTGGTCATTGTAACATATCACCATACAGGCCACTTTAAGATGTCACCATACAGGTCACTGTAACATATCACCATACAGGCCACTTTAAGATGTCACCATACAGGTCACTGTAACATATCACCATACAGGCCACTTTAAGATGTCACCATACAGGTCACTGTAACATATCACCATACAGATCGCTGTAACATATCCAGGCCCAGTAGAATCACCAGTACACCAGGTCCAGTAGATTCACCAGTACTCCACGTCCAGTAGAATCACCAGTACTCCAGGTCCAGTAGAATCACCAGTACTCCAGGTCCAGTAGAATCACCAGTACTCCAGGTCCAGTAGAATCACCATTACTCCAGGCCCAGTAGAATCACCAGTACTCCAGGTCCAGTAGAATCACCAGTACTCCAGGTCCAGTAGAATCACCAGTACCCTCCATCAAGTCAAATAACTTGATCAGTTCACCTGAAGGTACCAAGTTAGTGCTGTTAGCAAAGTTGCTAATCATTGCTGTCCAAGTTCTCAAGATGTGCAGTTTACACCATGTAAAGTATGTAAATTTTGTTTACCATTAGGAAATACCTAGTGAAAAGAGGTCCATAGGGCCAATATTACTCACGTGGCTTTGTTTTGCTGAAATTACCTTATCAAAAATGAAGGAAAAGAATTTCTAAGTTTCCAAGCACATAACACACACAATATCTATTTCCCAATTGGGCCTCATCCCTCTTGTCATTCATGCTTCATACCAAATAGAGACAGAATCCTATAGAAGAATTTTCAAAAAATTTCCATTATTTCCCTTTGAATGGGCCCTGCCCCTATCAGCCCTTTGGGCCAAGACCCATCATTTTTATAAAACTGATTTCAATTTACTCGAGGATGCATCAGACTATATTTGGGAATAATTCTATAATTCCCACAGCAGGAGAAGGATATTCAAGAATTAGCTCTACTTTCCCCCATCGGCCCCACCTCTCCTGCCCGATGGGACAAAGACCTACTGTTTGTAAAAAATTGACTCAGACCAAATTTGGGCAAAGTCCAAACATTCCTACAGGAGGAATAGGATTTTAAAGAAGTTGCTTGATTCCCCCTTGGGCCCTACAGTGGTAAGTGAAACATTTAATTTGTTGCCACTGCTAATACAGGAGTATTAAATTCCAAATAAACTATTAAAATATATCAGTCTGACAAGTGTCAACAAATCTACAGCTGTGAAATATTAAAGTATGTTCCCAATTTGTTTAAAAATATTCATTAACTATTGGTTATCTCTTACCAGCATTTGAACAATTGGGGCCAATTCAAACATAATTTAGACTAGAAATGGCGGGGGCATAAAAAAGTGCGGACTGACATACAAATGGACAGAGCCCTCAATTAATATGGGGCATCATAATTTCCATGTAGAACTCGTATTACTGAAATGATCTTAAAAAAAAATAAACAATTTCTATTCATTTTTTCAATTAAGTAAAGAGAAATAGTATAATTGTAACTTCTGTTCAATGACCTGACTACTGACCTCATCTGTTTCCATGAATGCTCCCCTGGGATGTGGTGCCAGTGTTACTGGAGGTTGACTCCCTCATCACTGACACCGAATTGGTTGCAGTTGTGTTGTCTCTTGTTGGGATCAGAGGAATCTCTATCTTAAATACCTCAATGAGTTCCTATTCAACAAACACAAATTTAATGAGTTTCTGTGTAACAAACATCAGGGATTCAATGAGTTTCTGTGTAACAAACATCAGGGATTCAAGGAGTTTCTGTGTAACAAACATCAGGGATTCAAGGAGTTTCTGTGTAACATACATCAGGGATTCAAGGAGTTTCTGTGTAGCATACATCAGGTATTTAATGAGTTTCTGTGTAAAAAACATCAGGTATTTAATGAGTTTCTGTGTAACATACATAAGGTAATTAATGAGTTTCTGTGTAACATACATTAGGTATTTAATGAGTTCCTGTGTAACATACATCAGGTATTTAATGAGTTCCTGTGTAACATACATCAGGTATTTAATGAGTTTCTGAGTAACAAACATCAGGTATTTAATGAGTTTCTGTGTAAAAAACATCAGGTATTTAATGAGTTTCTGTGTAACATACATAAGGTAATTAATGAGTTTCTGAGTAACAAACATCAAGTATTTAATGAGTTTCTGTGTAACATACATAAGGTAATTAATGAGTTTCTGTGTAACATACATTAGGTAATTAATGAGTTTCTGTGTAACATACATAAGGTATTTAATGAGTTCCTGTGTAACATACATAAGGTAATTAATGAGTTTCTGTGTAACATACATTAGGTCATTGATAAGTTTCTGGGTAGCATACATCAGGTAATTAATGAGTTCCTGTGTAACATACATAAGGTAATTAATGAGTTCCTGTGTAACATACATTAGGTAATTAATGAGTTTCTGTGTAACATACATTAGGTAATTGATAAGTTTCTGTGTAGCATACATAAGGTAATTAATGAGTTCCTGTGTAACATACATAAGGTAATTAATGAGTTCCTGTGTAACATACATAAGGTAATTAATGAGTTCCTGTGTAACATACATAAGGTAATTAATGAGTTTCTGTGTAACATACATTAGGTCATTGATAAGTTTCTGTGTAGCATACATCAGGTAATTAATGAGTTCCTGTGTAACATACATCTGGGATTTTATGAATTCCTGTCTACCACAAATCAGGAATATGAGTATCTGCATAACAAGTAACTGGGATTTAAGAGGTCCACTATTTTGACACAAGCTTGTCCTACTTGTGCATACACGGTACATGCTTCTTCCACAAATAATATGAATATATAACAATTTACGTTGCCTTGGAGATAATTTTATAGCTATGAACTGAAACTGTCGTCCAGGGCCACCTCATACCTCAATCTCACCTGCCACCAACAAGTTAGAATCATAAAACTGTTTCTAGTTTTGGTGACATTGGATATATAATCTATAGGAATAGAACCTTGATGCCAAATCTGAATGTGTTTGTATACATATTCAGTGATGGACAAGAATAGATGTACTGTTGGGTACATTCATAAAAACAAAATGGGAAGAAGTCAACACACATGTATGTAGGAGTGTACAATAATTTGTTGAGTTGGTCTGTTTATATAGGAAGAACTTCATCTTACATGAGACAAGCATCAGATTTGGCTGACATCTTTATGTTATCACCCAATAACAAAAAAGAAACTGATGTCATTTTGCAACAACATGGTTGAATGGCCAATGCAGCAGAGTAAAAATTTGTTGAAGAAAGTCCTTGATAAATGTCTAAAATATTGAAAAGAGGCAATTCTGTGTGAAAAACGGAAATATCTAAATCTGATATAAATTACATACATCTACAATGTGACAGGATTACTGTCTACAAATTTCACTGAAATCCATTCAATAGTATCCGGTGCATGTTTCTAAAAGGGATATAACTCAATCCAAAAGGGGCAAAAGTTTCTGAAAAGGGGCTATAAGGGGAGGTAAAGAGGAGGAAATTTTATGCGCACTAAGATATCAAATCTAGATTGCTGTATGTCCCTGTAATTAAAGCCTGTGAAATAGACATTCATACACTGGGCACAAAGTGGTAAGGATCACTTTTAAAAATAAATTAATTCGTATCAAAAGACAAAACCTTTTGGAATATGGAATACAAAAGCATGTCATGTATAGTTACTGAGGAGGGACGTATCAGTCAAACCAAACTCTTGTACGGAGGAGGGACACACTACTCAAAACAAACTGTCGTACAGGAGGAGAGATCAACTGACAGAAGATGATTTACACATATTTCATGTGGTCGGGAAGATTATATCCTAATGTGTATCACCAATATGATCTTACCTATTAACAACGACATAAAACTCACCTTCCATTCTGCTGGTGTAATGGACACGATAGCTTGGTGTTTGGACATCTTCTCAAATACTTCCACATTTCTCTCCTCATCACTGATTGGCTCTGCATAAACATCACACTTTTTACTATCAGTAACTCTAACTAAATATCACACTCTGTACTATCAGTAACACTCACTAAATATCACACTCTGTACTATCAGTAACACTCACTAAATATCACACTCTGTACTATCAGTAACACTCACTAAATATCACACTCTGTACTATCAGTAACACTCACTAAATATCACACTCTGTACTATCAGTAACACTCACTAAATATCACACTCTGTACTATCAGTAACACTCACTAAATATCACACTCTGTATTATCAGTAACACTCACTAAATATCACACTCTGTACTATCAGTAACACTAACTAAATATCACACTCTGTACTATCAGTAACACTAACTAAATATCACACTCGGTACTATCAGTAACACTCACTAAATATCACACTCTGTACCATCAGTAACACTCACTAAATATCACACTCTGTACTATCAGTAACACTCACTAAATATCACACTCTGTACTATCAGTAACACTCACACTCTTTACTATCAGTAACACTCACTAAATATCACACTCTGTACTATCAGTAACACTAACTAAATATCACACTCTGTACTATCAGTAACACTCACTAAATATCACACTCGGTACTATCAGTAACACTCACTAAATATCACACTCTGTACTATCAGTAACACTCACTAAATATCACACTCTGTCATATCAGTAACACTAACTAAATATCACACTCTGTACTATCAGTAACACTCACTAAATATCACACTCTGTACTATCAGTAACACTCACTAAATATCACACTCTGTACTATCAGTAACACTCACACTCTGTACTATCAGTAACACTAACTAAATATCACACTCTGTACTATCAGTAACACTCACTAAATATCACACTCTGTACTATCAGTAACACTCACTAAATATCACACTCTGTCATATCAGTAACACTAACTAAATATCACACTCTGTACTATCAGTAACACTCACTAAATATCACACTCTGTACTATCAGTAACACTCACTAAATATCACACTCTGTACTATCAGTAACACTCACACTAAATATCACACTCTGTACTATCAGTAACACTCACTAAATATCACACTCTGTACTATCAGTAACACTAACTAAATATCACACTCTGTACTATCAGTAACACTCACTAAATATCACACTCTGTACTATCAGTAACACTCACACTCTGTACTATCAGTAACACTCACACTCTGTACTATCAGTAACACTCACTAAATATCACACTCTGTACTATCAGTAACACTCACTAAATATCACACTCTGTACTATCAGTAACACTAACTAAATATCACACTCTGTACTATCAGTAACACTAACTAAATATCACACTCTGTACTATCAGTAACACTCACTAAATATCACACTCTGTACTATCAGTAACACTCACTAAATATCACACTCTGTACTATCAGTAACACTCACTAAATATCACACTCTGTACTATCAGTAACACTAACTAAATATCACACTCTGTACTATCAGTAACACTCACTAAATATCACACTCTGTACTATCAGTAACACTCACTAAATATCACACTCTGTACTATCAGTAACACTAACTAAATATCACACTCTGTACTATCAGTAACACTCACTAAATATCACACTCTGTACTATCAGTAACACTCACTAAATATCACACTCTGTACTATCAGTAACACTCACTAAATATCACACTCTGTACTATCAGTAACACTCACACTACTATCATAACACTCACACTCTGTACTATCAGTAACACTCACTAAATATCACACTCTGTACTATCAGTAACACTCACTAAATATCACACTCTGTACTATCAGTAACACTAACTAAATATCACACTCTGTACTATCAGTAACACTCACACTCTGTACTATCAGTAACACTCACTAAATATCACACTCTGTACTATCAGTAACACTCACTAAATATCACACTCTGTACTATCAGTAACACTCACTAAATATCACACTCTGTACTATCAGTAACACTAACTAAATATCACACTCTGTACTATCAGTAACACTCACTAAATATCACACTCTGTACTATCAGTAACACTCACTAAATATCACACTCTGTACTATCAGTAACACTCACTAAATATCACACTCTGTACTATCAGTAACACTCACTAAATATCACACTCTGTACTATCAGTAACACTCACTAAATATCACACTCTGTACTATCAGTAACACTCACTAAATATCACACTCTGTACTATCAGTAACACTCACTAAATATCACACTCTGTACTATCAGTAACACTCACACTAAATATCACACTCTGTACTATCAGTAACACTCACTAAATATCACACTCTATCAGTAACACTCACTAAATATCACACTCTGTACTATCAGTAACACTCACTAAATATCACACTCTGTACTATCAGTAACACTCACTAAATATCACACTCTGTACTATCAGTAACACTCACTAAATATCACACTCTGTACTATCAGTAACACTCACTAAATATCACACTCTGTACTATCAGTAACACTCACTAAATATCACACTCTGTACTATCAGTAACACTCACTAAATATCACACTCTGTACTATCAGTAACACTCACTAAATATCACACTCTGTACTATCAGTAACACTCACTAAATATCACACTCTGTACTATCAGTAACACTCACTAAATAACACACTCTGTACTATCAGTAACACTCACTAAATATCACACTCTGTACTATATCTGTACTATCAATAACACTCACAAATATCACACTGTACTATCAGTAACACTAACTAAATATCACACTCTGTACTATCAGTAACACTAACTAAATATCACACTCTGTACTATCAGTAACACTCACTAAATATCACACTCTGTACTATCAGTAACACTCACTAAATATCACACTCTGTACTATCAGTAACACTCACTAAATATCACACTCTGTACTATCAGTAACACTAACTAAATATCACACTCTGTACTATCAGTAACACTAACTAAATATCACACTCTGTACTATCAGTAACACTCACTAAATATCACACTCTGTACTATCAGTAACACTCACTAAATATCACACTCTGTACTATCAGTAACACTCACTAAATATCACACTCTGTACTATCAGTAACACTCACTAAATATCACACTCTGTACTATCAGTAACACTCACACTAAATATCACACACTCTGTACTATCAGTAACACTCACTAAATATCACACTCTGTACTATCAGTAACACTACAAATATCACACTCTGTACTATCAGTAACACTCACTAAATATCACACTCTGTACTATCAGTAACACTCACTAAATATCACACTCTGTACTATCAGTAACACTCACTAAATATCACACTCTGTACTATCAGTAACACTCACTAAATATCACACTCTGTACTATCAGTAACACTCACTAAATATCACACTCTGTACTATCAGTAACACTCACTAAATATCACACTCTGTACTATCAGTAACACTCACTAAATATCACACTCTGTACTATCAGTAACACTAAATAAATATCACACTCTGTACTATCAGTAACACTCACTAAATATCACACTCTGTACTATCAGTAACACTCACTAAATATCACACTCTGTACTATCAGTAACACTCACTAAATATCACACTCTGTACTATCAGTAACACTCACTAAATATCACACTCTGTACTATCAGTAACACTCACTAAATATCACACTCTGTACTATCAGTAACACTCACTAAATATCACACTCTGTACTATCAGTAACACTCACTAAATATCACACTCTGTACTATCAGTAACACTCACTAAATATCACACTCTGTACTATCAGTAACACTCACTAAATATCACACTCTGTACTATCAGTAACACTCACTAAATATCACACTCTGTACTATCAGTAACACTCACTAAATATCACACTCTGTACTATCAGTAACACTCACTAAATATCACACTCTGTACTATCAGTAACACTCACTAAATATCACACTCTGTACTATCAGTAACACTCACTAAATATCACACTCTGTACTATCAGTAACACAAACTAAAGATCACACTCTGTACTATCAGTAACACTCACTAAATATCACACTCTGTACTATCAGTAACACTCACTAAATATCACACTCTGTAACTATAAATATCACACTCTGTAACACACTCACTAAATATCACACTCTGTACTATCAGTAACACTCACTAAATATCACACTCTGTACTATCAGTAACACTCACTAAATATCACACACACTCTGTACTATCAGTAACACTCACTAAATATCACACTCTGTACTATAAATATCACACTAACACTCACTAAAAATATCACACTCTGTACTATCAGTAACACTCACTAAATATCACACTCTGTACTATCAGTAACACTCACTAAATATCACACTCTGTACTATCAGTAACACTCACTAAATATCACACTCTGTACTATCAGTAACACTCACTAAATATCACACTCTGTACTATCAGTAACACTCACTAAATATCACACTCTGTACTATCAGTAACACTCACACTCTGTACTATCAGTAACACTCACTAAATATCACACTCTGTACTATCATCAGTAACACTCACTAAATATCACACTCGTACTATCAGTAACACTCACTAAATATCACACTCTGTACTATCAGTAACACTCACTAAATATCACACTCTGTATTATCAGTAACACTCACACTCGGTACTATCAGTAACACTCACTAAATATCACACTCTGTACTATCAGTAACACTCACTAAATATCACACTCTGTACTATCAGTAACTCTAACTAAATATCACACTCTGTACTATCAGTAACACTCACTAAATATCACACTCTTCTCGTACTATCAGTAACACTCACACTCTGTACTATCAGTAACACTCACTAAATATCACACTCTGTACTATCAGTAACACTCACTAAATATCACACTCTGTACTATCAGTAACACTCACTAAATATCACACTCTGTACTATCAGTAACACTCACTAAATATCACACTCTGTACTATCAGTTACACTTACTAAATATCTCTCTCTGTACTATCAGTAACACTAACTAAATATCACACTCTGTACTATCAGTAACACTCACTAAATATCACACTCTGTACTATCAGTAACACTCACTAAATATCACACTCTGTACTATCAGTAACACTCACTAAATATCACACTCTGTACTATCAGTAACACTCACTAAATATCACACTCTGTACTATCAGTAACACTCACTAAATATCACACTCTGTACTATCACTAAATATCACACTCTGTACAGTAACACTAACTAAATATCACACTCTGTACTATCAGTAACACTCACTAAATATCACACTCTGTACTATCAGTAACACTCACTAAATATCACACTCTGTACTATCAGTAACACTCACTAAATATCACACTCTGTACTATCAGTAACACTCACTAAATATCACACTCTGTACTATCAGTAACACTCACTAAATATCACACTCTGTACTATCAGTAACACTCACTAAATATCACACTCTGTACTATCAGTAACACTCACTAAATATCACACTCTGTACTATCAGTAACACTCACTAAATATCACACACACTCTGTACTATCAGTAACACTCACTAAATATCACACTCTGTACTATCAGTAACACTCACTAAATATCACACTCTGTACTATCAGTAACACTCACTAAATATCACACTCTGTACTATCAGTAACACTCACTAAATATCACACTCTGTACTATCAGTAACACTCACTAAATATCACACTCTGTACTATCAGTAACACTCACTAAATATCACACTCTGTACTATCAGTAACACTAACTAAATATCACACTCTGTACTATCAGTAACACTCACTAAATATCACACTCTGTACTATCAGTAACACTCACTAAATATCACACTCTGTACTATCAGTAACACTCACTAAATATCACACTCTGTACTATCAGTAACACTCACTAAATATCACACTCTGTACTATCAGTAACACTCACTAAATATCACACTCTGTACTATCAGTAACACTCACTAAATATCACACTCTGTACTATCAGTAACACTCACTAAATATCACACTCTGTACTATCAGTAACTCTAACTATCACACTCTGTAACACTCACTAAATATCACACTCTGTACTATCAGTAACACTCACTAAATATCACACTCTGTACTATCAGTAACACTCACTAAATATCACACTCTGTACTATCAGTAACACTCACTAAATATCACACTCTGTACTATCAGTAACACTAACTAAATATCACACTCTGTACTATCAGTAACACTAACTAAATATCACACTCGTTACTATCAGTAACACTCACTAAATATCACACTCTGTACTATCAGTAACACTAACTAAATATCACACTCTGTACTATCAGTAACACTCACTAAATATCACACTCTGTACTATCAGTAACACTCACTAAATATCACACTCTGTACTATCAGTAACACTCACTAAATATCACACTCTGTACTATCAGTAACACTCACTAAATATCACACTCTGTACTATCAGTAACACTCACTAAATATCACACTCTGTACTATCAGTAACACTCACACTCTGTACTATCAGTAACACTCACTAAATATCACACTCTGTACTATCAGTAACACTCACTAAATATCACACTCGTTACTATCAGTAACACTCACTAAATATCACACTCTGTACTATCAGTAACACTAACTAAATATCACACTCTGTACTATCAGTAACACTCACTAAATATCACACTCTGTACTATCAGTAACACTCACTAAATATCACACTCTGTACTATCAGTAACACTCACTAAATATCACACTCTGTACTATCAGTAACACTCACTAAATATCACACTCTGTACTATCAGTAACACTCACTAAATATCACACTCTGTACTATCAGTAACACTCACACTCTGTACTATCAGTAACACTCACTAAATATCACACTCTGTACTATCAGTAACACTCACTAAATATCACACTCGTTACTATCAGTAACACTCACTAAATATCACACTCTGTACTATCAGTAACACTCACTAAATATCACACTCTGTACTATCAGTAACACTCACTAAATATCACACTCTGTACTATCAGTAACACTCACTAAATATCACACTCTGTACTATCAGTAACACTCACTAAATATCACACTCTGTACTATCAGTAACACTTACTAAATATCACACTCTGTACTATCAGTAACACTAACTAAATATCACACTCTGTACTATCAGTAACACTCACTAAATATCACACTCGGTACTATCAGTAACACTCACTAAATATCACACTCTGTACTATCAGTAACACTCACTAAATATCACACTCTGTACTATCAGTAACACTCACTAAATATCACACTCTGTACTATCAGTAACACTTACTAAATATCACACTCTGTACTATCAGTAACACTAACTAAATATCACACTCTGTACTATCAGTAACACTCACTAAATATCACACTCTGTACTATCAGTAACTCTAACTAAATATCACACTCTGTACTATCAGTAACACTCACTAAATATCACACTCTGTACTATCAGTAACTCTAACTAAATATCACACTCGGTACTATCAGTAACACTAACTAAATATCACACTCTGTATTATCAGTAACACTCACTAAATATCACACTCTGTACTATCAGTAACACTAACTAAATATCACAATCCGTACTATCAGTTACATCACAGACAACTACCATCATCGTAGCCAGGAGTGACACCGATCAATAATACTTACCTATCAAGGGGAGATGATCATCGTCGAGGTAAATACGAGCATGGCCATCCTTTAAATAAAGAATATATTTCATGTTGCCAGATATATCATATTTTCTATCATTTAGAAAGACAGTAGCGGCAGATTCATTAAATATCAATTTTGTTGTCTTCTTAAATAAAACTGTATGAAATGACAATTGTAGAGGGACACTTTCAGATGTTCAATCATGTTATTTGGATTGGATGGACTGAGCCTATATCAATTATCACTAGGTATCAAGGCAGTTATCAGTTAAGTATCCCACCACAGGACCACCTTGTCACTAGGTCCACCACAGGACCACCTTGTCACTAGGTCCACCACAGGACAACCTTGTCACTAGGTCCACCACAGGACAACCTTGTCACTAGGTCCACCACAGGTCAACCATGTCATTAGGTCAAAAACAGGACGACCATGTCACTATGTCCATGACAGGACGACCATGTCACTATGTCCACCACAGGACGACCATGTCACTCGTTTCATGACAGGACGACCATGTCACTATGTCCACCACACAGCGACCATGTCACTACATCCATGAGAGGACGACCATGTCACTATGTCCACGACAGGGCGACCATGTTGCTATGTCCACGACAGGACGACCATGTCGCTATGTCCACCACATGACAACCTTGTCATTGGGTCCACAACATGACAACCTTGTCACTAGGGCCACCACAGGACGACCATGTCACTATGTCCACCACATGACAACCATGTCATTAGGTCCACCACATGACAACCTTGTCATTAGGTCCACCACATGACAACCTTGTCACTAGGGCCACCAGAGAACAACCTTGTCACTAGGTCTACCACAGGACAACCTTGTCACTAGGGCCACCACATGACAACCTTGTCACTATGTCCATCACAGGACAACCTTGTCACTATGTCCACCACATGACAACCTTGTCACTAGGTCCATCACAGGACCACCTTGTCACTAGGTCCACCACAGGATCACTATGTCATTAGGTCCACCAGAGAACAACCTTGTCACTAGGTCCATCACAGGACCACCATGTCACTAGGTCCACCAGAGAACAACCTTGTCACTAGGTCCATCACAGGACCACCATGTCACTAGGTCCACCACAGGACCACCATGTCATTAGGTCCACCAAAGAACAACCTTGTCACTATGTTCACCACAGGACAACTTTGTCACTAGGTCCACCACAGGTCAACCTTTTCACTAGGTATCTAAGACAGTAAATGGGTGTAGTTTTGTACTTACCCTAACAAGAAAAGAAGCATAAAATATATTTTCAACAGTCTGGCCAAAGGAATCGGGGTTCAGCACAAACTCAAAATAGCAAATTGGCTGGTCTGTAGTGAAAAAAGTCTGATTCATTAATATATAATGCATAATCAAAACAAGTTAATTAAGAGGAGTCAAAAACATATTAATAAGCATTGCAATGGTCGATTTCCACATACATGTACAGGTTTTATAGGTTTCATAATAATGAAATATTTATGTTTAATATTGATGAGATGTCATTAAACATCTTATGATGTTTAAAAAGTGAGAGCTTTTAGGCATAATGTTTAAAAACTGTACCTGTGATAAATTTTTAACTAGGTTTCTGATACTTAAATTACAGTAAGAAGTAAGAATTTCCAACCTAATGAATAAATAAAAATATCTTGACTACCAAAATATCATTTCATTAGGAAACAAAAGAATGTCATATAAGATTCCGACCAACTTAAGAAACATTTATATTAACGGTTTTAAATGCCAAAAATTTTAACCACATCTGATTGCCTGTTTATCTGTTTTCTGGTTTCAGAAACCTTCAAACCTTCAGTACAGGAGAATTTTTTTTGGTTTGACAGGGAAGGTGTGTGTGATGACTACACATGTATGATAAATCATCAGCACACAGAAGCAATACTGAAGTCATATAAAATGGGAATAACATGAAAAAGGCATATACCAGAAACTTAAAAAAGTCCTATCCAAACAGTGATCCATTTTGGGTCCTGGCATTTTGAACAACCAGAAAAGCAATTTGATGAAGTCAGATCATAATATATATATCCTTTATAAGTTCTGGCCAATATATTTACCTAAGATAACACTATTCTATTACCTAACCTTCTCTCAAAGTAACAAAAATTCAATGACTGGAGAAAATGATGTAGTGTTTACCTGTGTACTACTTGTATTACTAGGATTTACAGTTCATCTTTCTTTTCTCTTTCTACTTTATTTGATCAAGATCATTTCCATGTTATTTTAATCCCTGGCAACATTTTGCAGAGAAATCAAGACACTTTACTCAAATACACTAATCCTACACATCATACAAACAGGAGAAACCAAGACACTTCACTCAAATACACTAATCCTACACATCACACAAACAGGAGAAACCAAGACACTTCACTCAAATACACTAATCCTACACATCATACAAACAGGAGAAACCAAGACACTTCACTCAAATACACTAATCCTACACATCATACAAACAGGAGAAACCAAGACACTTCACTCAAATACACTAATCCTACACATCATACAAACAGGAGAAACCAAGACACTTCACTCAAATACACTAATCCTACACATCATACAAACAGGAGAAACCAAGACACTTCACTCAAATACACTAATCCTACACATCATACAAACAGGAGAAACCAAGACACTTCACTCAAATACACTAATCCTACACATCACACAAACAGGAGAAACCAAGACACTTCACTCAAATACACTAATCCTACACATCATACAAACAGGAGAAACCAAGACACTTCACTCAAATACACTAATCCTACATATCATACAAATGAGACAAACCAAGACACTTCACTCAAATACACTAATCCTACACAGCATACAAATGAGACAAACCAAGACACTTCACTCAAATACACTAATCCTACACATCATACAAACAGGAGAAACCAAGACACTTCACTCAAATACACTAATCCTACACATCATACAAACAGGAGAAACCAAGACACTTCACTCAAATACACTAATCCTACATATCATACAAATGAGACAAACCAAGACACTTCACTCAAATACACTAATCCTACACATCATACAAACAGGAGAAACCAAGACACTTCACTCAAATACACTAATCCTACACAGCATACAAATGAGACAAACCAAGACACTTCACTCAAATACACTAATCCTACACAGCATACAAATGAGACAAACCAAGACACTTCACTCAAATACACTAATCCTACACATCATACAAATGAGACAAACCAAGACACTTCACTCAAAAACACTAATCCTACACAGCATACAAATGAGACAAACCAAGACACTTCACTCAAATACACTAATCCTACACATCATACAAACAGGAGAAACCAAGACACTTCACTCAAATACACTAATCCTACACAGCATACAAATGAGACAAACCAAGACACTTCACTCAAATACACTAATCCTACACATCATACAAACAGGAGAAACCAAGACACTTCACTCAAATACACTAATCCTACACATCATACAAATGCATGTTTCCATGGTAAGGTCTGAATCAACGGAAGAAATAATTGAGAAACAAGAATGATACGTAGATACGTATTTGCAAGAAGTCCAAGACAGTTTTTGAGAAACCCACAATGGTATCAGTCCGTGTCACTTAACATGTATGTATCAGTGTAAGAGTTCACTGTATTAGAAATGTCTGAAAGCATACATACTACACCCCCATTCTCAGCAACGAAGTACATGAGATGAGTTTTATAGAGAGTGTTGATGGTACACTATAGGGGACATGGTGACTACTTACTGTTGGTGTCTCTGTAGTACTTCTTCAGAAGGCCAAACAACCTCTCCACCTCTTGTGTTGTGCCCTCATTCTTTCCCCCTTCTCCAAAATTGTTCAACTGAAGATCAAAGATAAACTCTGTCATTTGAAAGACATGCACTGAGTAACCAGATTGAGCTTGATGGATCTTGTTATAGCAACAACAACACAAACAAAGAATATCCCTACCTGTTTGGGAACTGTTGCCTTTTCCTGTAAGTTGTCTTTCTCCTTCAACTTTGGGGCTCGTTTGTTGTCTGTTTTAGGCACTGCTAATCGTTCAAAAGATCCTCCCCTATATAAGAAAAATACATACCACTGGTATAAAGTTTTATCCAGTTTATATCCAGGCCATGGAGACCAAGATCATAATTACAGATTTATATATTTGATATATATATATGTACTAACAATGTAAAAGCAAATCGCTCAATCCAGGAACTGATTAAGTTTATCAAGGGGAAGAATCACCTAACAAGGTCAAGTTTATCTTGAGGAAGAATCACCTTACAAGGTCAAGTTTATTGGGGGAAGAAGTACCTAACAAGGTCAAGTTTATTGGGGGAAGAAGTACCTAACAAGGTCAAGTTTATCTGAGGGAAGAATCACCTAACAAGGTCAAGTTTATCTGAGGGAAAAAGTACCTAACAAGGTCAAGTTTGTCTAGGGAAACAATTACCTAACAAGGTCAAGTTTGTCTAGGGGAAGAATCACCTAACAAGGTCAAGTTTATCTTGGGGAAGAATTTCCTAACAAGGTCAAGTTTATCTGGGGGCTTCAAATCTAACAAGAACAAGAATTGTCATCCTTTGTAGACATATAAAAATCACAAACATACCTATGGTTCCCAATAGTAGGAATAATTTCAAATTTTAAAGGTTATTTGAGTATCAGTTTAGAAAATGTTTGTAAAGGAACAGCAGCCTGCATGGTTGCAAAGTTTAGGAGAAGTGTGGACATTTTCCTGTTAGTGATAGGGCTTAGTTGATTATCACTATTTTTTAAAACTTTAATTCTAAGCATACTTTGACAATATCATAATGTCAACCAATCAGAAGCCTACATTATGTTTCCATAGTAATGAATCTGTAAACATCTGATATGTTGAATCATAAACGTTTGTAAATTACATAATTTGACCAAGTTCCATTAAAATTGCACAAAGAAGTGAAGAGCTATAAGCAATTACAGCAAAACATGTGTATAGTGACCTTATTACCATGGCAACCAAAAACCCTGCACGCAGATCTACAAATGAAAAAATGGATATCACATTTCAATCTTTCACTGAAAATTGGTCTATGTTCTGCAAGTAACAGATGGACCTCAGATATCTCTTACCAATGCCAGCGATACATACATGAAGTGAAAGGCTGGCGACTTCTTAAAAAATTTCTGTACTGCTGATCCTAGCATCACCCAGTTCTGTGGTGTCATATGTCTGTCAGCTCCACTGTCTACGAAGGTTATCTACAGAACAACAAACAAAACACTTGATACAGACAAGTCAGCTTCACTGTCTACAAAGGTTATATACAGAACATCAAACAGAACACTTGATACAGACAAGTAAGCTTCACTGTCTACGAAGGTTATCTACAATACACTTGGTACAGACAGGTCAGCTCCACTGTCTACAAAGGTTATATACAGAACATCAAACAGAACACTTGATACAGACAAGTCAGCTTCACTGTCTACGAAGGTTATAAACACAACAACAAACAGAACATATGGTACAGACAGGTCAGCTCCACTGTCTACGAAGGTTATAAACACAACAAACAGAACACTTGGTACAGACAGGTCAGCTTCACTGTCTAGGAAGGTTATATACAAAACACTTTGTACAGACAAGTCAGCTCCACTGTCTACGAAGGTTATATACAGAACAACAAACAGAACACTTGGTACTGACAGGTCAGCTCCACCGTCTACAAAGGTTATCTAAAGATCAACAAACAGATAGAATAAGAACTTCACTTTCCCTGCATCTCCTTTTGTCAAGTCCCACAAAATTAAACAAGAGAAATTTTTGGACCAATCATCAGGTGATGATTCTATATATTCTAACTTTTTCCCTTCATCATTTCCTGCTTTGTCGGTTTACTCATTCAGGAATAAAAATCGTTAGGAATTGTGAGATTGTGAACTGTTCATAAAAATCCCTAGGAATCATGAGGTTGTGAACTGTTCATAAAAAATCCCTAGGAATCATGAGGTTGTGAACTGTTCATAAAAAATCCCTTGGAATCATGAGGTTGTGAATGTTCACAAAAATCCCTAGGAATCATGAGATTGTGAACTGGATATGAAAATCCTAGGAATGGTGAGATGCTGAACCTGTCATTAAAATCCCTAGGAATCATGAGGTTGTGAACTGTTCATAAAAAATCCCTAGGAATCATGAGGTTGTGAACTGTTCATAAAAAATCCCTAGGAATCATGAGGTTGTGAACTGTTCATAAAAAATCCCTAGGAATCATGAGGTTGTGAACTGTTCATAAAAAATCCCTAGGAATCACGAGGTTGTGAACTGTTCATAAAAAATCCCTAGGAATCACGAAGTTGTGAACTGTTCATAAAAAATCCCTAGGAATCATGAGATAGCGAAATGTTCATAAAAAATCCCTAGGAATCATGAGGTTGTGAACTGTTCATGAAAAATCCCTAGGAATCACGAGGTTGTGAACTGTTCATAAAAAATCCCTAGGAATCATGAGGTTGTGAACTGTTCATAAAAAATCCCTAGGAATCATGAGGTTGTGAACTGTTCATAAAAAATCCCTAGGAATCATGAGGTTGTGAACTGTTCATAAAAAATCCCTAGGAATCACGAGGTTGTGAACTGTTCATAAAAAATCCCTAGGAATCATGAGATAGCGAAATGTTCATAAAAAATCCCTAGGAATCATGAGGTTGTGAACTGTTCATAAAAAATCCCTAGGAATCACGAGATAGCGAAATGTTCATAAAAAATCCCTAGGAATCATGAGGTTGTGAACTGTTCATAAAAAATCCCTTGGAATCATGAGGTTGTGAATGTTCACAAAAATCCCTAGGAATCATGAGATTGTGAACTGGATATGAAAATCCTAGGAATGGTGAGATGCTGAACCTGTCATTAAAATCCCTAGGAATCATGAGGTTGTGAACTGTTCATAAAAAATCCCTAGGAATCATGAGGTTGTGAACTGTTCATAAAAAATCCCTAGGAATCATGAGGTTGTGAACTGTTCATAAAAAATCCCTAGGAATCATGAGGTTGTGAACTGTTCATAAAAAATCCCTAGGAATCATGAGGTTGTGAACTGTTCATAAAAAATCCCTAGGAATCACGAGGTTGTGAACTGTTCATAAAAAATCCCTAGGAATCACGAAGTTGTGAACTGTTCATAAAAAATCCCTAGGAATCATGAGGTTGTGAACTGTTCATAAAAAATCCCTAGGAATCATGAGGTTGTGAACTGTTCATAAAAAATCCCTAGGAATCATGAGATAGCGAAATGTTCATAAAAAATCCCTAGGAATCATGAGGTTGTGAACTGTTCATAAAAAATCCCTAGGAATCACGAGGTTGTGAACTGTTCATAAAAAATCCCTAGGAATCATGAGATAGCGAAATGTTCATAAAAAATCCCTAGGAATCATGAGGTTGTGAACTGTTCATAAAAAATCCCTAGGAATCACGAGGTTGTGAACTGTTCATAAAAAATCCCTAGGAATCATGAGATAGCGAAATGTTCATAAAAAATCCCTAGGAATCATGAGGTAGTGAAATGTTCATAAAAAATCCCTAGGAATCACGAGGTTGTGAACATAAAAAATCGAGATGTTGTTCATAAAAAATCCCTAGGAATCATGAGGTTGTGAACTGTTCATAAAAAATCCCTAGGAATCATGAGATAGCGAAATGTTCATAAAAAATCCCTAGGAATCATGAGGTTGTGAACTGTTCATAAAAAATCCCTAGGAATCACGAGATAGCGAAATGTTCATAAAAAATCCCTAGGAATCATGAGATAGCGAAATGTTCATAAAAAATCCCTAGGAATCATGAGGTTGTGAACTGTTCATAAAAAATCCCTAGGAATCACGAGATAGCGAAATGTTCATAAAAAATCCCTAGGAATCATGAGATAGCGAAATGTTCATAAAAAATCCCTAGGAATCACGAGGTTGTGAACTGTTCATAAAAAATCCCTAGGAATCATGAGGTTGTGAACTGTTCATAAAAAATCCCTAGGAATCATGAGATAGCGAAATGTTCATAAAAAATCCCTAGTAATCATGAGGTTGTGAACTGTTCATAAAAAACCCCTAGGAATCATGAGGTTGTGAACTGTTCATAAAAAATCCCTAGGAATCATGAGGTTGTGAACTGTTCATAAAAAATCCCTAGGAATCATGAGGTTGTGAACTGTTCATAAAAAATCCCTAGGAATCACGAAGTTGTGAACTGTTCATAAAAAATCCCTAGGAATCATGAGATAGCGAAATGTTCATAAAAAATCCCTAGGAATCATGAGGTTGTGAACTGTTCATAAAAAATCCCTAGGAATCACGAGGTTGTGAACTGTTCATAAAAATCCCTAGGAATCATGAGGTTGTGAACTGTTCATAAAAAATCCCTAGGAATCATGAGGTTGTGAACTGTTCATAAAAAATCCCTAGGAATCATGAGGTTGTGAACTGTTCATAAAAAATCCCTAGGAATCATGAGATAGCGAAATGTTCATAAAAATCCCTAGGAATCATGAGGTTGTGAACTGGATATGAAAATCCCTAGGAATGGTGAGATGCTGAACCTGTCATTAAAATCCCTAGAAATCACGAGATTGTGAACTGGATATGAAAATCCCTAGGAATGGTGAGATTGTGAATGTTCATAAAAATCCCTAGGAATTGTGAGATTGTGAATGTTCATAAAAATCCCTAGGAATCATGAGGTTGTGTACTGTTCATTTAAATCCCTAGGAATGGTGAGATGCTGAACCTGTCATTAAAATCCCTAGGAATGGTGAGATGCTGAACCTGTCATTAAAATCCCTAGGAATCTGGAGATTGTGAACTGGATATGAAAACCTTTTATTGAATTCATAACTACATGAATTATAATTTGTGCTTGCCCTTTGATCATGGAACATTAAGGCAAATTTGTTCTGAAAAAGAGAACCAAGATTTCTCTCACCAACTTTTCAGCAAATTCCACTGGCTCAAATTTCACAAAGTCTGTATGTAAGGCTTCAGCTCTTTGCCGACTCAGGTTAGATATGAGGAGGACAGCTTGGGAGTCTAATGCTCCCTCTCTGGGCATTCGCACTACAAAATACTTAGTCATTACAAAATCCTGTTCCTTTACATATTAAATCAGAGAGCCAAGAACTAGAGATAAAGATGTAGAATTATGAATTACTTACGTTTTTATAAATTTTTCTTTACAAGACCGTTACAATTTTGAAGTAGAAGTATTTCAGTATATCCATCAAAATGTTTTAAAAAAGTTAAGGCAGAATCTCAATATTCAAAACAAAAGTATTTAATGAAATACTTAAAAGAAGATTTCTTTTACCAGGTATTTTGGTGCATTTTCTTCAAGTGGGTAATGTCAATAGAAATGAAATACTCAAACCACAACCAGTAGAAGATTTAAGTGTGATGTTTTGATGACTACACAGACAACTAATTTCTTCAGCTATACTATAATCCTGTATACACTAAGATAGAAAATAGCATGACAAGATGTTTAAAAGTTCAATAAAAAGCTAGTACACTATATGATAAACCTGTTTTGAAGTTGATATGGCTACGATTTGTTTAACACTTGGTCATAGATGTGCATATATATATCAATGTTAGTATGCTTCACACAGGTCATTTGTCTGCTGAAGGTGACCATTGAAGGTGACAGTGTAGTCATCGAAACATCACATTCTAATCTCCTAATGGTTGCATTATAAGAACTTATTTTTTACGTAAGAATAATCATTATGATATGAAGAAAGCAGTTTGCTAACATGTTATTGAAACTTTCATCTTGGACCATTTTTCAGTATTTCTTTAAAAATATAACTGATCATCTTTCTATGTCATAGCATCATAGGTAATGGAGTTTAATGAATGGAAAACATCTTTTAGCTGACATCTGTTACAGGAATGACACAGCTACCTTCTTTATTAAGAGAATTGGCCTCATCCAAAACTTCCTGTAATCTTTTTGACTCTGGGTTTATCATATCATGTGTGTTTTCTGAAACAAATACAGTAAGAAAGCATATGTAAGTATTTAAGATGTATAACTGATATTCCTATTACAGTGACATCTATCACAATGGCTTGACTAAGTATGATATGTATAACTGATATTCCTATTACAGTGACATCTATCAGAAGGCTTGACTTAGTACGATATTTATATTTGACTATCCCGATACAGTTACACCTTTAATGGACATGAGACATGATTTTTTTTTAATATTCTGTTAATATGACACAACAGATTCTTTAAAACCTGTTTAATTCCAATTTTTTCCTAATATTAGATAGATTTTTTTTATTGATCACTTGATCAGAAAGGTCAATTCTTTTGTTACCTGTAAATAAAACGAGGCAAAATGCTGAAACAGAAGATGATGGGAAAATGAATTTTTGGAACTCTTTTTGTGTAGGGGATACCACAGCAAACATAATAGCCAAGAGGCTATGTTATCTTGCCGATGGTGAGGTGATAACTGTGTAGTTATTGCTGAAAACTAGTTTGATTTGCTGGTGGTCTTGACTTGGGAGTCCAGTACCTGACAATCAAATACCTGGATATGTAGCCTCTAATCTGTCAGCGTTAAACATCTATTAAGACAAAACAGGATTTGTAGTGAAACAGACCACCGATAGGAAGAAATGGGAACGTAGTAGGGAAAAAAAAGAAAATCACTTTGAATGTCTTCGATAAGGACCCTGTAGTCATGACGAACTCGCAACCTCTCATTTCTATTTTGATCAAACTGTAAGTACTGCATGCTGTTGTAATCCTCAGCGTTTGCCCCACCGTCTTCATCCTGTGCGTCTGCTGATCGCTTGTTATTTCTTTCACGCGCCATATTTTCATTTGTACACACCGGAAATGTGCCAACACACCATAAATTTCAACATGAAACGCGTGCAATTCCGGATAACGAAGATGGTTTGACCTAAGTAGTTCTCTTAAACATAGGAACACAGACTATTTGTACTGAAAATTTCTATGCAATAAAATATATTTTCCAAAAATTATTCTTACATTTATCATAAAATAAGGAAATTAACTCTTTAATCCACATTTCACCGGGTCAATATTGCAACTGTTTAAGCTTATCACGCTCCAGTCAGTGTTGTAACATGTAAATAGTTTTATAGGGTTGTATGTGTGTGTTTGTGTGTGTGTGTGTGTGTACACGTGCCTGTGGTAGTGTGTTTCATGGAGTGAGTGTGTGTGTGTGTGTGTGTGTGTGTGTGTGTGTATGAGAGAGAGAGAGAGAGAGAGAGAGAGAGTGTGTGTATGAGAGAGAGAGAGAGAGAGAGAGAGAGAGAGAGAGAGAGAGAGAGAGAGAGAGAGAGTGTGTGTGTGTGTGTGTGTGTGTGTGTGTGTGTGTGTGTGTGTGTGTGTGTGTGTGTGAGGGTGCGTGTGTGTGTATGTGTGCGCGTGTGCGTGCGTACGTGTTTTTGAGGTGTGTGCGTGTTGTGGCGGTGGTGTGTGTGTGCGTGTGTAAACGTACACATGTGCATACGCAGTTGTCTACGTTAGTGCGTGAGTGCATTGTCACGTATGTATGTGCGCGTGAACATGTGTATATATGCGTGTACGCGCGCGTGTGTGTGAGGGTGTGTGTGCGAGTGTGATGGGTGTATGTGTGTGTGTGTGTGTGTGTGAGAGAGAGAGAGAGAGAGAGAGAGAGAGAGAGAGAGAGAGAGAGAGAGATGGTGTGTGTGTGTGTATATATATATACCGTACAGCGTTTTTATTTCGCTACATGTATATGCGCGCTTTTCTATCAGTGCGCGAATTTTAAAACCCCGTAGAAACTGTGTTCAAGGGTCAGCAAGGGGACTTGCAACTTCCCAATCTCTCATTGATCTTTTCTTAGTAAGTAATTCCATTAAAACCTTCCGTCATGACGTAATACCAGTTGACCGAGACATCAGTGACCATCCGAGCTGTTTTTACCGAGATAAAAATCGAATACCCTATACGACGGACCTTCACTAAAAAGATGTGGCTATACAATCGAGCGAACTTTACCGACTTAAAAGAAGCGTTGGCAGCTATAGACTGGATTTCCCTTTTTGGCACATGCAACGACATCGACGACATGACACCACTTTTCACGGTTAGACTTCTTTCTCTTGCAGACAAGTACATACTATCACGACAAGTAACTATACGTCCTAACGACGCACTTTGGATGACTAATGAAATAATAATAAACAAGATAAGACGCAACCGTCTCCACAAAACAGCTAAACTACACCCCACACCTACAAACATCAATAGCGGGGACGTATAATACTGTATAATACGTCCCTGTCAATAGTTTTTAAAAAAGACGAAATAAGGTATATGATATGAAGAAATTTGCAAGATCGAAGTATTTTGACAACACAACTGACAATTTAGCAGCTAAACCAAAAGCATGCTGGTATATCATGAAATCATTAATGAAATTTAAAATACCTACAGACTTACCTCCTCTGTTCGACTCGACAATTAACACATACATTACCGACGACACTGACAAAGCAAACCTTTTAAATAACTTTTCCTGTTCCGTTACGGACCTTGATGACAGCGACAAAGACTTGCCTTCTTTTCCTTCACGTACGGACTCCATACTTACCGAAATACAGATCCAACCGACGGAAGTCAGCGACATCCTCAAAATTCTTGACACGACCAAAGCCTCAGGCCCCGACGGGATCAGTCATAAACTACTTAAACCATTGGCATATTTCTCTTCCTCTCAGTATCCTCTTTAACAAATCATTACACTCGTCTATGTCCCCTCCCAGTGGAAAACAGCAAATGTCGTACCCATCCACATAAAGAAGACCCCTCACTTGTAGAGAACTATCGGCCTATCTCCTTGTTGTGTTGTCTCTCCAGAATCTTCTAACGAGTGGTTCACAAACACGTTTATAATCATCTTCACGATAATAATCTGATCTATCCTTTACAACCAGGCTTTCTTACTAACCAATCTACCACCTTTCAACTCATCGAACTCTATCATACCATACTAGAAGCACTAGAAAAGAAATACCATACTGCCCTCGTATTTTGTGATTTCTCAAATGCGTTCGACCGCGTGTGGCATGAAGGTCTGATTCTAAAACTTCGTAGTTATAGCATATCTGGTAAATTACTTTCCTGGTTTTCGAGTTATCTTCTAGATCGTAAGCAATCCGTTGTTCTCCGTAATAATTGTTCAAACCCTGGGAATACCAAAGCTGGGGTTCCTCAGGGATCAGTCTTAGGGCCTCTTCTCTTTGTAATTTATATCAATGACCCATCAGAAACTCTTAACTCTTTGACAAGACTTTTCGCTGACGACACATCTCGCTCCTATTCATCTCCCGACATTGAGACAACAGTAAATGGTGACCTTCGAAAGTTACAGGTGTGGTCTGATGAATGGCTTATGTCCTTCAACACCAACAAGACTGAAATTATGTTTTTTTTCTAACCGTGCCTTACCTAGCATACCAGATTTCCAATTCAATAGAACAACAATACATGTGACTGACAGACATAAACATCTCGGACTGACATTAAGTATTGACTGTGAATGGAATGCCCATATCGACAGCATAAACTCTGCATCTAATCAATTAGCTATGTTACGTAAACTCATGTCAATCCTTTCTAGACGAAATTTAGAGAAACTTTACTTTTATCAGACCTCTCCTGGAATATGCTTTAGAAGTATTGGACAATTGCGGTGCGACAAACGAAGACAGATTGGAAAGAGTGTAACTCCAGGCGGCTAGGATCGTCAGGGGACTACCACTTTACACTAAATTAGACATTTATTCAGAAACAGGCTGGGTTACACTAAAGTGGAAAGTGTATGGATGTTTTCACTGTGAACATGTTAGGGCCTGGAAAGTGTATGGATGTTTTCATTGTGAACATGTTAGGGCCTGGAAAGTGTATGGATGTTTTCATTGTGAACATGTTAGGGCCTGGAAAGTGTATGGATGTTTTCATTGTGAACATGTTAGGGCCTGGAAAGTGTATGGATGTTTTCATTGTGAACATGTTAGGGCCTGGAAAGTGTATGGATGTTTTCATTGTGAACATGTTAGGGCCTGGAAAGTGTATGGATGTTTTCATTGTGAACATGTTAGGGCTAATACAAAATCCCATAAGTTGAACTTTGTGAACTTATCTAACATGGAAATTTTGTTAATGCCTGGCTGGTTAGATGTGAATGCAGAGTTACTTGACCATGAAATGAATGGCTCAATTATGTGTTCACAATTACCAACAAACAAGTTTTGATCATCAGAGCAGTTCATAAAGAGTTAAAAAAGTAAATCACAGATAGCAAAGTATTTTCCCCTCAAGACTCTTTGAATAAAATTTTGAAGGAAAATGTTGAACTTTAAGAGGCATGTTAAAGTGGCCAAATTTGTCAAAATTAATGTTTTCTATCAGGAAATTTCAAAGGACAATGGGTAATGTTGATCTTACTCTATTGTTATCAATCAAATAAGACAAATTTGTTAAGTTGATGAATCATCTATAAAGTATATCTTACAAAATCTAACCAACATGCCCCATATTAATTAAACACATTTATCATGAAAAAGTACTGAGGGTGCCCTATATTTCATTACATCTGGACTAGCCCATAGGGATTAGATTTCATGTCACACCCTTTATCCAATATAAGCTTGGCAAGTCAACTCTGCAACATCAAACTTTTTGTATTTTTCCTTGTTCATAGGCTATCTCTCAACACCTGTAAACAGGTCGAAAACTAAACATTTCAATTCATTTGCAGATTAATTTAGCACATATATACTCTCTTTGCATGGCTAGTCCTCCTAAAAAAGTCTTTGTTTTTTCTACCATCAACATCTGTGTCAAGTTTTTCATCTTGAAAAGAACAACTTGAAAATACCAAATGAAATACTAAGATGTGAACAAAAGAAATATTGACACAGAGACTCATGAAAAACTACAAGGAGACTTAAACACAGGTGTTCCAGTGGAATAAGTGTTTCTGTTTCATCAACATATGCCATGTAAATCTTGGTCAATCCAAGTAAGTAATGTCAAGTTCTCAAATGAATCAAGGTATATGAAAAAAGAAGCAACATGTGAACTCATCTGTTAGTCGATGTTAGGATATTTAAGAATGTCTGCATCCGAATCAACATCCAATATGGTAGGATATTTGTAGTAAATCCATCTCCGTGATATTGCTTTTACCTCCACTTTTTTTGCCATGACAATGACGACAAAGGAGTTTCGTCAAGGGGAGATAACTTGTAACTCTCAATTTCAATAACTTGAAATTTCAAATGGCTTGTCCATCTGCAAGCAGACAAGAATCCAACCATGATATGGATCTTTATGAATGGAATCTTTTCCCCTCATTTGCACTCTTATATGACCCTTCATGTTGCAAGTTAACCCCTGTATAACCAACCATTCTTGGAATCTTGGCACCACTGTTTGATCTTTATTCATTTTTCAAAAACTTAATTGTTTTCCTTCTTTCTGTCCTCCGTTTTTGCCCTTAAATATATGAAAATTGAAAATGTTTTAGCTTTAATAAACGACTGCAAAAACCAAGACTGTCATGGCAATATTGGATTTCACACTGACTTGAAAAATAACATCTCGGGATCCTTCTGGCAAGTTTCAGCTCAATCCTGCCAATGGAACTGGAGAAGTTTTAAATGTAAAAACTTTGCTTAATGACAGACGAAACACCTTTCGGATCAGATGAATTTGTAAGACAGGAAACGCATGACGAAAATAACAATGGGTTTTTAAAATATTTTTTATTGCTTTCCATGGCATGACTGAACGACGACCCTTAGTTACTATACATGACAACAAGATAGAGTACAACTGACCAGGGCTCTTCATTCACGACAACCATTAATGGACTACACTGCCATTTTTTCTCTCACTCTCTCGTCAATCCTACAGTTTGATTTTGGTACAAGGGGTAGAAGTGAAATTGCTGTTGTATTTAAATATTGACCCTATACCTCGACATACATACTACAGTCTGTACTGTACATGCATCGCACTGTAACTGGTAGGCTGGAAAAACATTCTATAGTAGCTTGGTGTTAATTCAATTCTGTAACCAGACTCTTGGCTCAATCAGAGTACGATGTTTGTCGGTTAACTGTCACCAGACTTTTGGCTCAATCAGAGTACAATGTTAATCAGTAAACTGTCACCAGACTCTTGTCTCAGAGTTGGATGTCCGTCCGTAAACTGTCACCAGGCTCTTGGCTCAGAGTAGGATGTCTTTCGGTAAACTGTCAGCAGACTCTTGGCTCAGAGTAGGATGTCTCTCAGTAAACTGTCACCAGGCTCATGGCTCAGAGTATGATGTCCGTCAGTAATCTATCACCAGACTCCTGGCTCAATCAATGCATGATGTTTGCTAATAAAATACAAAAGATTAGCATGCCCTTAGTAAGATATAAATGCATCCGGATCCCTCATCATTCTTGATTTTATTACAAGGAACATTGCTGAAATATGCGACTTGTGAAATAATTTTGTTTTTCTCTGCTAAGCTGGGTCTCTACTGTCACAAATAATTAAACACGAGGTAGATTAGACCACAATCCACAACCTTGTACTGATCTATGCTTCCGACATTCCCACAATAACAAACACATTCCAACAAAATGAGTTATCAAAATGTTCAGTGTAAAATTTCAGTGTTGATATGCAAAATAAATAGAAGCAAGACTTTGATTTTAAATAAACAAGTTGGTATTCAGTAGTTACTGACCAAGGAATTTTCCCTCTGTGATTCTCTAGGATACCCAGCGGGTAATCCTGCTGCTCAATAGAAGTGATTATTTATTACCTCAGGTACTGTTTCTTCTGCATCAAAACACTTTCTTTCGATCATTTTAAAATACAAAAATAGATTGTTATGTGATGTCACCTGAGGACTACTCGTCAGGACATGGTCTACACCATCCACATTCTAAATACTTCAGTCAACACAAATGGGCATTTCGATAACAAATTCATTCTTTCTGGCATTTCTATAATATTTCAACACTGTTGACTGATGAAAATAATAACTGGATTAAGTGTAACAGCTGTGTTCTGGAAAAAAAAAAACAAACAAACAAACAAATTTGAGGATATCACGACCCTACCTAATCACCTTATCTTGTGATAAAGGACAGAACCAGTACAGGTTAGGGAATTCTTGCCATATTGCATACCACAAACAGAATCTGTTACAAAGGAACATTTGAAGTTGAACATGTCAAAACCACTAAATCCATGGTAATTGGCAACAAGATCAATTTCACCATTTAAAGACCGTTAAATTGGCTAATTATCAAGATATGTCTTATATTTAACATGGATCATTGCTATCCATGTAAACAAGGTTTCTAGGGAGTTATACTACCCAACTACCGTCATAAATCATGAGGAATGCTCAAGTATGATGTACTACCTACAGTTATAACAACAGCACTCATTACATGGGTACTACAATACAAACAAAACATGGGCACTACCACAAGTACTAAGGTTTTCAACCAAAATATCCATTTAACATGGACACTTCAGTTACAGCACCCATGGAAAAGGATACTCCAGTTACCACACACATAGAACATGGGCACTTTCAGTTACATCACCTATAGAACATGGACACTTCCAGTTACAGCACCCATAGAACATGGACACTTCCAGTTACAGCACCCATAGAAAATGGATACATTTACGACTGTAGCATTAATTTTGTTTCAAGAGCAATAGTTCCTGGGTGCTTTCTTACTGGCACCAATGGTATGTTTGCTGCAACACTTAGTCTACAACATGTCGTTCATTGCACCAACTGGACTTTAACTTCCGCCATTTCTACTAAGAAAACAGTATCAAGCAAAACAGTGTCAGTACATTCATTACTTTAATTAACATTATAAAACAATTCATATTCAATAACCAAATGGTCCCCCACCCACATCACCGACATCATACATCCTTGACATATATCGGACTCGCACTGTTGGGAATAACAAGTTCTATCAACAACTGACATCACTTTCGTAGCAACTATACCACTCTCTCCCTATGAAAATACATTTATACCACCTCTAGGATCAACAGCTGTCCACATTTTGAGGAATACCTCAGGCTCTACTCACTTTCAAAGTGGCCTTTCAGCTTAGTGAAATATTTTACCATAGATTTATAATATTTCTTCAACACTTACTTCTTCCTTACACACAATGGGTATAACAAAATGTGTTGTTGGGACTCAATTTTAGGGATTAATCTAGCCCTCATATTCAAGGGGACAACTAGGTGGGATTGTCCATTATACAAATACAGCAGCAGATTTTAGAAGATTGCTACCACAATTTCACACATTGAACAACTGGATAAACCAGAAATCAAGATAGTATTTGATCCATTTCTCAAGCAAAATTTAATAACATGCATGTTTTATTTATCTTGATAAACGAGAAGATTACCTTGAAAATTAAATCATTATTATGCTTCAGGTTGTATACCTATCAAATAGGACAATTTTTGTAAGTTTGTTGGTATCCATTTCCTTTCTCTGAATCTTCTGCAGGAAAACTTTTCTTAACATAGCCTAGATTAATCCCATCACATCATACAAATAGTTAATGCTTACAAACATGAAATCATATTGAAAATAAATAAACTTATGATGCTATTAGTTTACACCTTCAGAATTATCATCAGGGTTGAATGGTTTTTGATCAATTTTAATGACATCACAATGTGTAAAGGCAGAAAAATATTTTCAGTAACAATTTTTGAATAACAAATATACTTCTCAATGACCTAACAAAGCACTTTGTTGCACCATTTCCTCAACAAAAACTGAACACATTATAACTTGTATAACTTGTAAATACAATCCCATGCTCATTAGCACCACCAATCATAATACCGATCCTTCACAATGAAACTTTTAACCTCAAGTGACCTTTCTACCTAATTATTTTCTCATTAAATTTCAATGACAGAAGTGGATAGTTTTCTCTTAGAATAATCAAACTCCTTCCAGTTGAAGAAGTACAATATCTGACCCATTAAACATAACAAATACAGATCACAGTGGTAACAAGGTTGGCAACAAAACAAAATTAAGGTAGCACTAAAGTATGTATCTACTGATAATCCACAACCAATTCTCATATTGGTCTTTTGATGGCTCCAAAAATATCCATCCTTCCTATAATGAAATTACACCAAGGAGTATTTCGAGCAGTTGAATTATATGTCTGTATCACTAGACAGAATGTGAAGAGGTGGTCCTTCAGATGAAATTTTCCTGAGGTGTTCGTACAGCACAAACAAAATCACCCTCTCATGAGGTTGTGTACAAATATTGAAATAACGAATACCTAACTGTCTGCAGACATTCGTTGAATCATAATATGATCTCCAAGAATGAATAAGGTAAACCATTTTTCTACTTAGTTTGAGAACATGTTGAATGAGTATTCAGAAGTATCAGTAAATTACACAGCAATTGATCCATTAAACATATCTCCTGCTAAATCAATGCTGCAATGAAAAGTTACCAATTCAGATGTATGAAACCACTTAAACAAATTTCATAACCTAAATTCAATTGTACATGCCATCATTGTATGACTTGACTGCATGCAAATTAATCCCAAGTTAGGAATATAAACACTTCCATACACAATATTTACTGCCACACAAAGCTAATTGGCATCAAACTAAAGATTGCCAATTATGATAGCCAATTATGCAAAACGTATCGCAACATCAGCATGTGATGGATTCATTCAGGTCTTTATCATGCTTTCTCTACCGACCAGCGGAAGATCTCTCTCCACACCAACACTCACTCCCTGTGACATTATCGGTACCTCAATCCATTATACACAGTTGAACCTTGGAAGCCTGGGAATTGACTAACACTTCCCTCCTTCAACTATTTCTTTAGCAGAATTTCAATTGCCTTATCAATGTAAAAAGTTTCATTTAAAGAAAATTTGCAATGCATCTCCAAACTTGATTGTCATTAATTACATATACAATGGTCACATTAGTATGACTCAGAGAATTTCTTTTATGAAAACCTTACTGAACATGCATTACGTTTACAAAGAGAACTTAGAAAGGAGGAAACATCCATGACTTTACAGGACATTGGAGAGTAAAGACCATCCAATTCTTAGTTCTAACTGCCTATTTATTCAACTGTGTATAGATGCCACAGCACTATTCATCATAAAATATACAGTATAGGCTCCAAACATACATGACATGTGGTTCATGTGTACACGCAATTCTGTATTCTTGTTCCTGTGTGTCAATTTTCTGGCTAACTCGTCATATTGCTAGTCTTTACTTTGGAAGATGTACAAGTTATTGGTAGCAGCAACAGCAAGAATGTTTTCGTTGGGATGCCAAGCAGTATGCAGTATTTTCTTGTTGAAATCAAGACAATCAACACTGATCTCCTCTTTCTTGCGTTTGCCACCTGTACACACTTTTCGTGGCTTCAGCACTGTACGAGGTTTCATGTTCTCTCTACTTGCCTCTAGTGTTGTATCACGTTTGGATTCACGGTCAAACATCCGATAAAAATTGTTGTAGGATCCTGTCATAATGTGTCTGCAAAATAACAAAATTTGTCATGGCACTTATCTGAAAACAGCAATCCTTAATCTTCACAAGAGTGAAAAATGATGGAGAGCATTCACTAGTTTTTATTACAGTATGATATAGATAAGATAATTAGTTGCTATAATCAACAGAGTTATCCCAGATCATACCTGATTAATGAAACCTGGTTATTTTGATATATCACAGCAGTATATACCCCTGACCATACCTGATTAATTAAGCTTGGTTATTTTATACATTCCCTTGACAATAACTATGTATGATTACCTGTCATCGCCACTCCATGAACACTCAAACTTGTCAAAGATGCAGTCATTTTCATATAGAGAGCATAATTTGCTGCGTAAATATTCATGCACTTGGTAGGTTTCTATAGGCTTTGTGTCCATATGTAAATCCCACACTTTTACTGACAAGTAATCTCTTGTCACCATGTATCGTCCATTGTGACTAAATTTCACATCTGATATACTGGAAATAATTTCTGAAAAGAAACTCCTATTGGTGGGATCTTCTGGCTCCTCAAACACTGTAAAGACAAGAATTATTATCAAAAACTAATATAACTTAAAGGTACTTTATATTAAAAGCATTCCTGAATTGTGAACACTGCACATCTTAGTACGAGCAATGTATACACAAACTTTCATTATCCAAGTTTAAATGAAAGCTAAGTTATGCTCCAGACCAAGTTTTAACAAAGGACAATAACTTTATAATGAAGGGGTTGCAGGCCCCAAGCTTGGAACACTGCACATCATCTTAGTATGAAAAATTTATAAACCACTTTTCATTATCCTTATCTAAATGAAAACAAAGTGGTTACAGGCCCTGAATATGGTACAATGTGTTTTGTCTTAGTATGACCAATATGAAAAAGTGACAAAGTGGAAATTATATTCTGCACCAAAAAATTTGAAGGAAACAGTACTGAAAACAGACACCACGAATACATAAAATAATCTAACAAACAATTTGGTACTTATGCATGAAATGGAAATAAACTGAAATGAAACGTAATTATTATTTGTTCTAATAAATATACATATACCTACTTTTCTGTGAGATGACAAAGGGTCTAATGTCAAATTGCATAAAGTCAAGATTCATGTCCACCTCATGATTTATCCAACGATTAAAATACCAAAAGAATTAAGACAGAGTACTGTTTCAAGTCATAAAAAAAGTTAGGATGTGTCTTTTAAACTGAAAGGAAATACTGTGACAAATGTCTGTGTTACAGAATATTCTGCATATTACTACTTACATTTGGCATGTTTGTCACACAAAGCTTGTTGGCGCATATCACAAAGTCTAATTGTTCCTTTACTACTACTATACACAAATAAGTTACAGTCGAGAGGGTGGAACTCGGCGGCAGTGATCACCTCAGTCAGCTCCTCCATGTTGGCTGGTTTGATATCAACAATATCTAAAGCAGGTCAAGGTATTTTACACATAAATAATTCATATATCACACAAGTGGCCCATACAGCCTTATCATTCACCTAGTCATACTTTATCCAAATGAAAGGAAAATAATTCTAAAAATTTTGAAAGTTTTTCCTTTTTGGGTCCTGTCCCTATCAAATTTTGATGAAGAACTGTCATTTCTACAACATAAGAATTCAGAAAATTTGCTATACATCTAATGAACCCATCCCTGGGCAATGATGAAAACTATTTTATGCAAAATTGATTTCTCTTCACCCAAAGACCAAAAATACTGGCATTCCTACAGAAGAAGGATTTCAAGAAAATTTGCACTATTATCCATAACAGACCCTGCCACTACCACCTCTGGGCTCGAGTTACACCAGCTATGCATAATGCCTTTACACCAAATTTGGACATAGTACAAGCATTCCTGCAGAAGGAGGATTTTAAAGGATTCACTCAATTTCCACAACCAGACCAAACCCAAAGGAGACCAATAGAGGTTGCATGATGACCATCAAAATCTATTGTCAATCAGTGGTAGAACAATGGATTTCACATTTTTTGTGTAAAGAAAGCTTGCATGCACAAAGGCTGTCTTATGGCAACACCTAACGAGATATGTTCACTCAACAAGAAAGGATACTGAAGCTCTGGTCCGTCACTTCTAAATGCCACAGGTTGATTCTCAAGTCATCTGCTGACAAATAAGTTTCCTGATCACTGTTGATGGATATGGAATTGATGTGATAGGTATGAGCATTTGCAAATATTCTACGAGGACTAGCTTCTACCATCAATTCCATTGGCTTAAACATTGGCACCCGTAATGTAGTCACAGTTGAAGGATCTCGCATTAAGCCCGACTCATCCTTCAAGTTGTAGCCTTCTGGTCTCTTGTCGCGTTCAGTTACTTTCCACAGCTTAATTGTTTTATCTGTAATCATTAAAAACTAAGAATAAAAAATCAAACTTCAAACAGTTATTTACAAACTTTTGTCAAATTAACGATTTATGTGCCAAATATTACCGAGTTGTTTTGATTTCTGTTCTCTTTTTTAAAATCTATTGAGAGGTTCATTAGACAAATGTATCTTGTAGTCACAGGCTCTTTATCTCAAAACTGGGCAAGTGTGACCTCTGCACTTGAATTAGTAGGTAGAAAATAGTGTGAACACAAGACATCTTGTACATGAGCTTTGTGCTATTTACAGACTCTTTTGACAAAGTAATCATTATTTTACCCTTCTTTAAGTAGGGGTTGAATTAAAAGTTCTGCAGAAATATGTAAATTTTTTCAATTCAGAGACAAATTAACTATATCAGACAGGCTATCTGGTTTTAACATATAACTGATTATGGAATTCCTAGTCACTACTGGTAACTACCTGATGCAATAAGTTTATGGTTACAGTATCTCTTAGTAAAATGACTAAACAAATGCTGTCACAAATAGTAACAATGGCCATATCAAATATTGTATGTTTTTTTCATTGAAGTAGTACTGGATTACATGCATTGCTTTTAATTATAAAGATTTACAGCATTTCAGTAAATTATACATTTTCAATTTCTACTGATGCAGACTTCAGAGTAGGGAAGTAAAAACAATACATAAATCTGATAAAAGAACAAGTTGTTTGCAAGGTACGGGACTGGTCAATTCACAGTGAAAATCCAGCACGTATAACCAGACATCTTAATGTTCCTGTTTGTATCAATATACTGAAACTAAAGAAGTTAACAGTATATGTCTGAACAGGGGTTTCAGAAGGATGCTTCTCCACACATTCCTGAAACTGATTGGCACTATTTTTCTTCTATTACACATCATTAGTGCAGTAAAAACCATATAGCCAAATCCCACATAATGCACAGAGCTTTTCTTGAGAAATTTATGCTCCAAGAATGAGGTTGAACACATTATGTAGCTGTAAGCCTTTTCCAGTATGTTTTCTTCGTAAAAAGATTAAAGATTCTGTGAAGCTGTACTGGATTACATGCATTACTTTTAAATATAAAGATCTACAGCATTTCAGTAAATTATACATTTTTAATTTCTACTGGTGCAGACTTCAGAGTAGGGAAGTAAAAACAATACATAAATCTGATAAAAGAACAAGTTGTTTGCAAGGTACGGGACTGGTCAATTCACAGTGAAAATCCAGCACGTATAACCAGACATCTTAATGTTCCTGTTTGTATCAATATACTGAAACTAAAGAAGTTAACAGTATATGTCTGAACAGGGGTTTCAGAAGGATGCTTCTCCACACATTCCTGAAACTGATTGGCACTATTTTTCTTTTATTACACATCATTAGTGCAGTAAAAACCATATAGCCAAATCCCATATAATGCACAGAGCTTTTCTTGAGAAATTTAAGGTCCAAGAATGAGGTTCAGCACATTATGTAGCTGTAAGCCTTTTCCAGTATGTTTTTTTATAAAAAGATTAAAGATTCACTGAAGCTGTTATCCTGGATTGTCTGGATTATCTGGTACACAACACTGACAGGAGAATAATTTGAGGACTTATTTATGAACAACAATAAAAGAATTACTGTATATGTTAATGCAAACTATCGGAGTCAATATCAAACAAAATCTAGACTAAGTGTTTAAACATGATAGCAACTAGCACGACAGGAAACTACCAATCAGTAAGATATATATCTGGATTATATTATGATTATCTTTTGTATTATTTTTAGTCCTTGGTTTGAAATGTTAGCTGAGTTTATCCTTTTGATAGCTATTTCCTAGCTCCAGGTTTTAGTTTGTTTGAATTCTTAGATGTGCAATATTCATGCATGAAGACCATTTCAGCACTTCAGTTCTGCAACAGATTTAAGTTAACACAAGAACAAACTCATACAATCTCTAGATGAGTTATGGTAAAGTTTCAGTGAAACTGACTTAATATGAGCTGTTTGGACAAGTTTTGATGGTCAAAGGGACAAGCCGATTCCAGTATACCCTTTCTTACTTCGACAACAGGGTCAACGGGCAATAACTTAGGATAGGATGGACAAAGGCAACACCTTTTGCTCCCCACTCCCTATCGATCATACGATAGAGATAGGGACAAAAAATTTTCATCAGTTATTGCACTGCTTGAACATACTAGAATTTTCCGATGGGCAAATGAAACTTTTGAGTATCATTCTGATTTCAATTATTGCAGATTTCATTAAGTATATTCCACTTTAAGAAAACAAAAACATGTTATCATAAATGGATAAGAGAGCCCTGATGCACCTTTTGTACCTAGATCACACAACACGTTATCAGGCCAGGGCTCTCACACCCCATTTTGGGACTGGAGCCCGGGGCCCTTAGAATTGGGAAAAATAATGGCGTTTTCCTTAGAAATGGGAAAACTTGGGGTCTAAATTGGGGGAAAAAAAGAGACTATTTTGCATTGGGAATGGGGCCAAATATCTGCCCCAAATCTGGCAGATCGAGAGCCCTGAAGGCTCACTTGGCATGAGCAAACATGCATACCACAATATGTTTAAAATACTAAAGCAAAGTTTCACATGTTAAGGGGAAATCTGGATCTTTGAAGAGCTGTGGCACAAAAAGATATGTCAATCTAATAAAAATAAAGTTGTTTGCAAGGTACGGGACTGGTCAATTCACAGTGAAAATCCAGCACGTATAACCAGACATCTTAATGTTCCTGTTTGTATCAATATACTGAAACTATAGAAGTGAACAGTACATGTCTGAACAGGGGTCTTGGAAACCGATCAGCAAATTATTTGTAATAAACAACTATTCCTTTCTCCTTTTTGAACTACTCATCCTCAATACACCAGGAGTTATGATCACTATTGCTCTCTGAACCACTGGATCATGTCATGGCAAAATTGAAGGCTGCCTTTGCAACACCTTGTGGATGAGACGAAAAGATTGGATGGATCCTTTGATGTACATTAAACAAATCTCAAAGTTGCATAAAAGTATATTTTAATGGCTCTGAAGTTGGGCATCTCTCCTTTGTAACCTTCGAAAATATCATATCAGCCTGTGATTTATCTTTTTTTTCTCTTGGAACCATCAAATTACTTTGCTTGCGCCTTTAATTTAGCCACGACATGTTACAGGGGTGCAAAGAGCGAAATCAATCGTTATCCAATGGAGTATCGTGGATGTGAACCACTACACCTAATCTTACAACTCTGAAATATTACACACCATTAGTGGAAAGCAGAAAATTAGCTGGGTTGGTCCTCTTCATCCATAGAATCTTGTTAATTTTCTCTTCAATTTCTAAACTTTTGAGATAATCAAATTCAGGTTCATGACTCTGGAAAGTGCTGTACACATTGTATTCCCCACGAAGAGGCAGTCCAATCTTGCCCTGAAAAGGGAAGGAAAATTCATATTGGTCTAGCTCAAGCAATGGATTTTCAAGAGAAATTGTGTTTTAAAAATTTTGCCATTTCGCTCAACAGATGATCAGGTTTGTAAGAAAAATTTTTGAAAGTTGCACTGTATTGAGTCCTATTTTTCAAAAAGACAATTTAATTTCTAAATCAAGGAACTGAATGTACCAATTGCTATGGCGAAAAGACAGACTTTTTGCTATGCTGTGACCCTTAATATGGATCAAGGTTATTTATTTAATAACCTTTCAGTTAATTAAAAGAATTATATTGGAGTGTTTCAACTAAACTGACAGTAGTGAGCTTGAATATGAATCCAGGTCTTTTCAGAAACTTTGGTTTCATAACTAAACTTTACAACTGTTACCTTGAATATGGGTCGTGAACATTTTTTTTTCACAAAACTGATCAAGCTTCACCATGGAAACCTATAAGCAAACTAGGACTCAATTAATCTGATGAAGTCGGTTTTAACGATTTTGACTGCTGTGATTTTTAATCAAGTTAATTCTTCATAAACTTTGTTCAGCTTCAGAAAAACATGATTCCAAGCCTTTCACTTGAACAAAAGAAGTCATTTGAGTATCTTAACTAATTTGAATCCAATTACCTTAAAGGTAAGTAAGGTTGATAACAGATAAAAGGTCATCAAATAATACTTACTTCCAAGTGGAGCCCGATTAATTGCCAGGTTTGAATGTATTTCTTAATACTTCATATTTTTTTAATACCACGCTATCCCGAGTTGTTGTTCCTTACAGCCACTTACACATTTGATACTATATGGTGTCAAAGTTGAAAAGTTGTGATAACATAACTTTCAGAACTGATGACCAGGAAGCTATAGCATTTGTTAGCCATTCCTTAAAAATACTGATGTTAAAAATATATTCAAGTTTATGAAAACCAGAACAAATACTATAATATAAAATTGATGTGTTTCAATAATCATCATATTACCTTATCGCGCTGGAAAATGACAACACGTCCACCTTTGTCACCTGTTGCCAGGAGGTCGCCGTCATTGTTAAATTCTACGCAGGAAATAATGTCAGCTAAAAAAAAAGTTGCACAATTAAACATGCTGGTTGTCTTATGGAGGAATGATCAATACAAAAAATTATCTGCCTTTTTTGTCTTTTCACCATACTAAACAGATGTTTGAGGCAGTTTGGTAGATGCTATTTTTCAGTATTGTAAACAAATTAAACAGATCACAGAATTAATAATATCAGTATTAATAATACAAGTATTTTTTTTTCACAAAAGCTTGCAAAACCTCAAGTGAAACCAAATGTCGAGAACTACACTAGAAAGCTCAAGTCTTTTTCTTTATTAATAAGTATATTCAAATACAGTATGTATAGTAAACGAAAGTCAAAGCTTTAAGCTGTAAATAGAGATAAAAGTTTGTTCCTTCTGCGTTGATCTGAGGGCGGACCGAGCATTAAAGAACTGATGCTTGGGAAATACAAGGCTGCAGTAAGCAAAATATCATATAGTAAATATGTTAACCAGCAGCCCCTATGTTATAGGACCTCACCAGAGTTCAATAAGAATATTGGCTTCTGTTGTATGCAATACAATTAAAATTATGATATAAACAAAGTCAAGTTGCTTCTTCTCAGGTGACCGCCATGTACATAAACTAGCCATTGATGATTTAACACATCTTGCAGAAGTCTGGGCCAAATTGCTTTTCCTAAAACTTGGTAAATATTTTAATTACTATGAGGACTATAAACTAAATTCATCAAACAAATAATAAAATACAACGATAATATAGAACTTCCTGTGCCGTATGCCATCACTTAAAGAATAAGAGTCTGTACTATATAATTATAATACTGTCGCTGTATACTTCGTCTAAATCGTTGATATTCACAAGTGTGTTAAAACATATTAAGTTAAAATATCACAAAATGGTAAGAATGATACTCTTCCGTGATTTATCCCGTTACTACTCGACAAGGCATCGCAGTAGTGTTTTATGCATAAATTGCACATTATATATGTCGGCAAATCTGAAGTCAATCGATAGAAGTAGACGTCTCAATATTACAAGTTTTGTCTCGTTCCTAAACATGACCTACGTTCTGTAACATCTTCAGTCTCGATTGCTCCCTTCACTTGTGAAAAACACCACTGAATATCACCGCCATTGCCTGAAACGAAAAGATGATAATTGCTAAAAATAAATTACATCGTCGACATTTCTACATAGTATAATACGGAAATGAGATGACTAACGGGAGTACACATTGATTCCATTCTTACCCGCCATCTTGTGGAGAAAATATTGATCCTAGAAATAAGAATACTGTTATAACATTGCATTCATTTCATTGGTAAGTCTAAACATGGCAATTTTACTCCTCGATGACATTGGAATGGCAGGCGGTGTATCCCGCTCATTCAAATCAATATGGCGCACTATGGCCGAAAGTTCAAGGATATGACGTCAGATCGATGGAATTTTGGGTAATGTAAAAAAGAAAGTACAGAGCTGTGTTACCCAATATAGAAAAGGAAAGTAGAGGAGGATAACACTTAACTTATTACAAAAATATTGATATAATAAATGATTTATTTGATATGTAACTTATGTTGAAGTTATAAGATAGAGCAGGTATGACGTATGATACTCTTTTCAAATGGGTCCAAAGTCAACCAGTCGGGGTATTGTATCAAAATTATTTGACTGCCAACAAGATCCATTTTTAGATAAAACCTCATGTATGTCTCCGATGTAATGATCCCTAAGCTGACATAGTCACCGCCCTATCTGATTAAAATAACTCTCCCTCATACCTCTTTACATATAACTGGGCCTATGTATGAAGTGAAGTTAACGATCTGCCTTAAAATTACAGATTGGTGAAGAAAAACGAGCGACCTGATTTTGATTGGATTATCAATAGTCCTAACTTAAAGTGTTTTAGTATGTTTGAAAATTAAGCTAGATCCATAAATGGATATAGCCATAGCCTTAAGTTGAGACAATCAGAACCATAAGTTAAATTAACCAGATCCCAGGGCATGTTGAAAAAAGGGCCATAAAGTGAGATAACTAGAACCCTTAGTTGATATAACTATAGAACTTTTCGTTGAAATAACTAGAACCCTTAGGTGAAATAACCCGAATCCTTAATTGAGATAACAAAAAATCCATAGTTGAGATGATAATGGGTATTTTTACACTGATAACAGGTTGACTGTATGATTATGGGTGTTATTACACTGAAAACAGGTCGAGTGTATGATTATGGGTGTTATAACACTGATAACAAGTTGACTGTATGATTATGGGTGTTATTACACTGATAACAGGTGGACTGTATGATGTTGGGTGTTATTACACTGATAACAGGTCGACTGTTTTATCATGGTCGTTATTACACTGATAACAGATCGAGTGTAACGTTATGGGTGTTATTACACTGATAGCAGGCCGACTTATGATTATGGGTGTTATTACACTAATAACAGGTCGAATGTAAGGTTATGGGTGTTATTACACTAATAACAGGTCGAATGTAAGGTTATGGGTGTTATTACACTGATAACAGGTCGACTGTATGATGATGGATGTTATCACACTGATAGCAGGTCGCTTGTATGATTATGGGTGTTATTACACTAATAACAGGTCGAATGTAAGGTTATGGATGTTATTACACTGATAACAGGTCGAGTGTATGATAATGAGTGTTATTACATATATAACGGGTCGACTGTATGATTATGGGTGTTATTACACTGATAACAGGCCGACTGTATGATGTTGGGTGTTATTACACTAATAACAGGTGGAGTGTATGATGTTGGGTGTTATTACACTGATAACAGGTGGAGTGTATGATTATGGTCGTTATAACACTGATAACAGGTGGAGTGTATGGCTATGGGTGTTAACAGGTCGAGTGTCTGATTTTGGATGTTATTACACTGATAACAGGTCGACTGTGTGATGTTGGGTGTTATTACACTGATAACAGGTCGACTGTATGATTATGGTCGTTATTACACTGATAACAGGCCGATTGTAAGGTTATGGGTGTTATTACACTGATACCAAGTCGACTGCATAAATATTGGTGCTATTACACTGATAACAGGTCCACTGTATGATTATGGTCGTTCTTACATTGATAACAGGCCGATTGTATGATGTTCGGTGTTATTACACTAATAACAGGTCGACTGTATGATTATGGGTGTAATTACACTGATAACAGGTCGACTGTATGATTATTTGTGTTATTACACTGATAACAGGCCGACTGTATGATGTTGGGTGTTATTACACTGATAACAGGCCGACTGTATGATGTTGGGTGTTATTACACTGATAACAGGTCTAATGTATGATTATGGGTGTTGTTACACTAATAACAGGTCGACTGTATGATGTTGAGTGTTATTACACTGATAGCAGGTCGACTGTATGATGATGGGTGTTATTACACTGATAACAGGTCGACTGTAAGGTTATGGGTGTTATTACATTGTTAACAAGTCGACTGCATAAATATTGGTGGTATTACACTGATAATAGGTCGACTGTAAGATGGTGGGTGTTATTACACTGATAATAGGTCTAATGTATGATAATGGGTGTTATTACACTGATAACAGGTCGAGTATAACGTTATGGGTGTTATTACACTGATAACAGGTAGACTGTATGATTATTGGTGTTGTTACACTGATAACAGGTCGACTGTGTGATTATTGGTGTTATTACACTGATAACAGGTCGGCTGTAGGATTATGGTCGTTGTTACACTGATAACAGGTCTAATGTATGATTATAAGTGTTATTACAATGATAACATGTCGACTGTGTTGTTATGGGTTTTATTACACTGATAAAAGGTCGGTGTAAGGTTATGTGTGTTATTACACTGATAACAGGTCGACTGTGTGATAATTGGTGTTATTACACTGATAACAGGTCGAATGTAAGGCTATGGGTGTTATTACACACTGATAATAGGTCGAGTGTATGATAATGAGTGTTATTACACATATAACGGGTCGACTGTATGATTATGGGTGTTATTACACTAATAACAGGTCGACTGTGTGATGTTGGGTGTTATTACACTGATAACAGGTCCACTGTATGATTATGGTCGTTATTAAACTGATAACAGGCCGATTGTAAGGTTATGGGTGTTATTACACTGATAACAAGTCGACTGCATAAATATTGCTGCTATTACACTGATAACAGGTCGACTGTATGATGTTGGGTGTTATTACACTGATAACAGGTCCACTGTATGATTATGGTCGTTATTACACTGATAACAGGTCGACTGTGAGGTTATGGGTGTTATTACACTGATAACAGGTCGACTGTATGATGATGGGTGGTATTACACTGATAACAGGTCGACTGTATGATGATGGGTGTTATTACACTGATAACAGGCCGACTGTAAGGTTATGGGTGTTATTACATTGATAACAGGTCCACTGTATGATTAAGGTCGTTATTACACTGATAGCAGGTCGACTGTATGATGATGGGTGGTATTACACTGATAACAGGTCGACTGTAAGGTTATGGGTGTTATTACATTGTTAACAAGTCGACTGCATAAATATTGGTGGTATTACACTGATAATAGGTCGACTGTAAGATGGTGGGTGTTATTACACTGATAACAGGTCTAATGTATGATAATGGGTGTTATTACACTGATAACAGGTCGAGTGTAACGTTATGGGTGTTATTACACTGATAACAGGTAGACTGTATGATTATTGGTGTTATTACACTGATAACAGGTCGGCTGTAGGATTATGGTCGTTGTTACACTGATAACAGGTCTAATGTATGATTATGAGTGTTATTACAATGATAACAGGTCGACTGTGTTGTTATGGGTTTTATTACACTGATAAAAGGTCGGTGTAAGGTTATGTGTGTTATTACACTGATAACAGGTCGACTGTGTGATAATTGGTGTTATTACACTGATAACAGGTCAAGTGTCAGGTTATGGGTGTTATTTCACTAATAACAGGTCGAATGTAAGGCTATGGGTGTTATTACACACTGATAATAGGTCGAGTGTATGATTATGGGTGTTATTACACTAATAACAGGTGGAGTGTATGATTATGGTCGTTATAACACTGATAACAGGTGGAGTGTATGGTTATGGGTGTTAACAGGTCGAGTGTCTGATTTTGGATGTTATTACACTGATAACGGATCGATTTTATGATTATGGGTGTTATTACACTAATAACAGGTCGACTGTGTGATGTTGGGTGTTATTACACTGATAACAGGTCCACTGTATGATTATGGTCGTTATTAAACTGATAACAGGCCGATTGTAAGGTTATGGGTGTTATTACACTGATAACAAGTCGACTGCATAAATATTGCTGCTATTACACTGATAACAGGTCGACTGTATGATGTTGGGTGTTATTACACTAATAACAGGCCGACTGTATGATTATGGTCGTTATTACACTGATAACAGTTCGACTGTAAGGTTATGGGTGTTATTATACTGATAACAGGTCGACTGTATGATGATGGGTGGTATTACACTGATAACAGGTCGACTGTATGATGATGGGTGTTATTACACTGATAACAGGCCGACTGTATGATGTTGGGTGTTATTACACTGATAACAGGTCTAATGTATGATTATGGGTGTTGTTACACTAATAACAGGTCGACTGTATGATGTTGAGTGTTATTACACTGATAACAGGTCGACTGTAAGGTTATGGGTGTTATTACATTGTTAACAAGTCGACTGCATAAATATTGGTGGTATTACACTGATAATAGGTCGACTGTAAGATGGTGAGTGTTATTACACTGATAACAGGTCTAATGTATGATAATGGGTGTTATTACACTGATAACAGGTCGAGTGTAACGTTATGGGTGTTATTACACTGATAACAGGTAGACTGTATGATTAGTGGTGTTATTACACTGATAACAGGTCGACTGTGTGATTATTGGTGTTATTACACTGATAACAGGTCGGCTGTAGGATTATGGTCGTTGTTACACTGATAACAGGTCTAATGTATGATTATGAGTGTTATTACAATGATAACAGGTCGACTGTGTTGTTATGGGTTTTATTACACTGATAAAAGGTCGGTGTAAGGTTAT